AGACTGGTCCCACCTGAATGATTAAGTAGATAACAACATTGTCTTTGTATGTAAGATTCATTATTCTAATTGTATTTTAGAGGAATATGGATTTAATTCTGCAAGTGGTAAAGGTTCAAGTGGTAATCAAACTTATAGTTCCCTAAGGAGGAAGTTCTTTAAAATAATATGTCAGTTTAAATATATTTTCAATATTCCCAACAATCAAATTGAATGGGAATTACCATACATGAAAATCATTACATAGATACACAGCAAGTTCCAGTAAATGTTCTAACAAACCTCTTTCTTTACTCATCACTAAAATACAGCAGTGAAGGAGAAATAATTTTATTATTCAGAGGTGGTTACACGCTTTTTCAAAAAAATAAAAATGGAACTCGTAAATTTACTTACAATATCATTGGTCATTAGCATTATTTTTTTTGTTAAAAAAACATTTTGATTGTACACATAAGTACTCCAAAGTTGGTATTAAAAAGATGTTTGAATTTCTGATTAACAATATCTGAGTAATTTTTGGAGATCAACTCTTTCAACAATCTGTCGGAATTTTTATGGGTACTAACTGCAACCCGTTATTAGCAGACCTTTTATTATATTCATATGAAGCAAAGAACTTCCTTCACTTTCTGAAGCAGAATTTATTCAAAAACTTCTACATGAAAAGAAGAAGTCTCTTGATGTGGCCTTTAATTCAACATTTAGATATATCGACGACATTTTATCAATTAACACATATTCATTTTCATTCCTACGTTGATTCGATCGACATATCCCTTTGAACTCGAATTAAAAGATGCCACGAAGTCTAACACATCTATTTCACATTTGGGTATTTCATTAGAAAAAGACGTTTATAATAACCTTACAACAAAAATTCATGATAAACGTGATGACTTCAACTTTCTATCGTCAACTTCCCTTTTTTATGTAGCAATATACCCTTATCACCTGCACATGGAGTTAATGTCTCCCAGCTGATTCGATACGCAAGAACATGTTCTACGTTCCAAAACGAGAGAAGCGATTGACGAATCAATCTACGGTCTCTTTTTAAGTCAATGTTTCGTAAATTCTACGGTGATACAACCAAATAAAATCTACCGTTAAGTTGAATTGACTGAAGTTTTTTCATACAAATTGTTAGGCCATTATTTTTATATACTAAATTTTCTAAGAATTTTTCCGTTTAATTGATTATGACAAGGAGCACACGGCGGTTGTGACCGGTCGACAGGGGATGTTTACTCTTCCACGGTACCTTATCCCAGCTCTGAAGATTTTAGAGGTCTGTGTTTGCTCTACTCCAATTTTGTATAGTTTCAATGGACTTTTTAGCTTGATAATTGTTCGTTTCTTTATATTTTATTTATAATTTAGATTGATTTCAACGTTATTATAAAGCATACATATGGACAAAGTTACAATGACCATAATGACTCTGTTGTTAATTGTATTTTTCTATCTATGGTGGCCGTCTGGTAATCGTATAATGCGTTTTAATGCGGATTATAAACTTGTACAGCAATTGGCTGTCTTATTTACGAGTAATATCGTGCTGTTTTGACAGTACTCTTTTTTTTTTTTAAATCTAAAATACTATTTAAATTCACCTACGTAAGTCAAATATAATCCATATATACATATTTTCAGTAGGGATGGCAACGAATATTCGAACATTCGAATATTCATTCGATGAGTTGATATTCGAATATGAATTTAAGATTCGAATATTCCGTGTTTTTCAGATTTCATAAAAAGAAGTACTGTGATTAATAAATTTTGATTAGAACAGTGCTGGAATTATCCCTGTTTAATTTACTAGCGATCAATTTCGATCGCCTGGTTTCTTTCACTACTTTCTTAGCTTATAAATCTACTAAATAACATGTATGTTGTTTTTAGTAAGGTGTTAAAGAATTGTACAATAATGCTTTATGTATAATACAAAACGTACTTTCAAAGTTTTTATTAGTTAGATACGATCGGATCTAGAATCGAGGACAACAAATGAAATCTAAGAATGTCTAAAAGGCGTGAAGAGTATACTTATCAAATTAAGATTAATTGATCATTGAATGAATGTCCGATAGAAATAATCTGTAATTAATATTGTAAAGGGCTTAATTTCAGAATAAATGTGCAAATTACTTGATTATCTCGGGTTGTAGATAATCCTGAACTTTATATTCATTATCGGGATATTAGTTAATTACCTAGGAAAATTGTCTATGAAAATATTTGTTTACATTGTATCAAAGATTATAATCATATCTCTTATCAGGCAAATAATTGTAATTCATTACACGTACTGAAATCTGAACAGTATACCGTTACGACTATCTTGCCTTTTGTAAGACGACTGGTTCCTCAGTTGGAGCTACTATAAATACACGTTTCATTTGTTAAAATTATACTTTTCTACATTTAAATCACTTATTTATTTCAAACATTGACAAATATCAAATGGAATTTCTTATTGTACACCTACAAAAGTCTTCATACAATTTTACTTTCAATATAAGTATACCTACGCTAAACCTTTCATGAGAGTAGGATGATGCATATTTAAGATAAAACAGATTTTATTCATTTTATCGAATATTCGAATATATTCGAATACTTTCATTGAATATTCGAATATGAATTACTGACAAAATTGACATCCCTAATTTTCAGTAATGGATTATACAGCTCAAAGATGGGTATAGATGCTTTCCATCGAGGTGATTTAAGCAAGAGTTATTCCCCAGGGCCGCCATATTGTAGGTCAACATCCCCAGATCCCTTTAATATTCAATCAAGTTCAATTTCTTATACTGGGCACTTAGGTGAAGATAACACTGTTTTCTTATGAATATACGTTTGTCAAAGCCTATTTTAATTCATAATTTCAATACAATGCATTTTAAATATTTTTCCCCAAATATTTCTGGCATGCATGTTTAAAATTGGTTGCTCAAAGAGGAAAATTCACTACTTTATCCTACAAGATGGCGTCCAAGGGGAATAACTCCGAGGCAAAATACGTCATAGGAAAACTATCTATTCGATTAAGGATATAGAATGTCAAGAGCCGGAAAAAATTTTATGAACCAATGATTTATATTCTCTGAAATATATGCCATAAATTTACGATCAGTCGTTTCGATAACCTCTTTTTTAAATTTTTGCATCATTTTGACAGAATTGGTAAGTGGATATGTAAGATCTTTGTGATACGTAAATCTCCTATGGATTTGACCGATAAAATATTCTAATATGTGCTCATCTTCTCATATGTGTGTTCTTAACTCTTTTATTACCATGACGACATTTTTGGGAGAGAGAGAGAGAGAGATCTTTTCCTGGAAACATATAGTGCTACCAGAGTAATAGGCTTTGTTTAATTTTTGACCTATCGTTAAACAAAGCAAAAGTAAGCAGTAATTTGCAATTTGAATTTAGAAGTTAACCTATCTAGGAGACAAAGTTACTGTAGAAGTTGACCTGTCTAGGAGACATAGTTACTGTAGAAGTTGACATGTCTAGGAGACAAAGTTACTGTAGAAGTTGACATGTCTAGGAGACAAAGTTACTGTAGAAGTTGACCTGTCTAAGAGACATAGTTACTGTAGAAGTTGATTTGTCTAGGAGACATAGTTACTGTAGAAGTTGACCTGTCTAAGAGACATAGTTACTGTAGAAGTTGATTTGTCTAGGAGACAAAGTTACTGTAGAAGTTGACCTGTCTAGGAGACATAGTTACTGTAGAAGTTGACCTGTCTAGGAGACATAGTTACTGTAGAAGTTGACATGTCTAAGAGATATAGTTACTGTAGAAGTTGACATGTTTAGGAGACAAAGTTACTGTAGAAGTTGACATGTCTAGGAGACATAGTTACTGTAAAAGTTAACCTGTCTATAGGTGACATAGTTACTGTAGAAGTTGACCTGTCTAGGAGACATAGTTACTGTAGAAGTTAACCTGTCTAAGAGACATAGTTACTGCATAAGTTGACCTGTCTAGGAGATATAGTTACTGTAGAAGTTGACAAGTCTAGGAGTCAAAATTAAGCCCCTTTACTGTTGACATCCGTTTGGAAAAAAAAGACTTTATACATGGTCAAAAGGCTGATATTCCCACTGATACAATCTTGATATAGGCTAAACTATTTCTTTATTCCATGTCATAGTATTAAAAGATAGTATAATATATACATACAAATATATATATATATATATATATATATATATAGAGAGAGAGAGAGAGAGAGAGAGAGAGAGAGAGAGAGAGAGAGAGAGAGAGAGAGAATATGTGTGTGTGTGTGTGTGTGTGAGGGTGTGTGTGTGTGTGTTTAGTATCCAAGTAGTATATTGATATGTAAATGTACATCGTATAAATAGAACATACATCAATCCTAATCTACAAGTCCTTTGTACTTACATGTAATTAAGAAACTTGAATAGATTAGTAAAAGTTTTTGTCAAAATTTTAACTGCAGTTAACTATACTGCAAACTTTCGTATAATTTCAAATTATTGCTTAGGAAGTAGAAGACATTGCTTGTCACTTAAATGTCCATGTGAAAAAAATAATCTATATAATAATAATTATTCAAAGATGTACTTTGATGCCCTGTCAACATCTAGACATGTAGTCTAGTGTACTTAGTATTACTATCCTAAAGTCTTTAGCTGTCTCTAGGTAGAATTGACATTATTCAAATGTACGTGACAGCAGTCATTCCAACGTCTGTGTCATGTTAGTTTGTCTGCGTATCCAACTGGTTTGGTGCTTCGAGAATTTTTTTTATTTTCTGCGATGGATTACTCAATTTTTTTTATATCATGTCTATTTTTATAATTTATTACATTCTTTGACATTAAATGTTAAAATTCGTAAGTCAATGTTCCTACAATCAGGAATCTTTTTTAATAATTGTGTTAAGAAGCAAAATGCAGTTTCCCATGCGTAGTTAATCAAAGTACAATCACAAAGCTGGAACCTTTGCGTATACTCTGACAGAAATTTGATTGCTACCTTGTTTTTATATTGTTCGTTATGAAAATAATTAACGTCTTGTTGCAACTGGCATACTAATCATTCCCGGAGTTTTGCTAGTTCCATTAACTATAGTCTTCTATGCATATCTTGTATGTTAGTGAACCTGTAAAAATACAGAAAAAGACGGAAATAAATATACAAGCCCTGAATTAAGGTCAAGAACACGGAAAATCCACTGTGTTTACTTCCACATCACATTATAACCTTATCGCGGTTTATGAAAAAGCGTAAGTTCGCTATCGCAATCACGCTCAGTTTCCGACCCCTCAAACCGTATAAAAGTGAAGAGCCTGGTGGAGAAAATTCTTTAAAACTTTTGAGAGCAGAATGGCCGTATCTAAGTTTTGGGGCTTTTTTATTGCTTGTATTTTTCTATCGTTGGTGGTCGCCTGTTATTCAGACGATGTCGATGATACTGATGCTACGGAACCCATGAGAGGTGAGTTGTTTAAAATTTTTGGAATTTTCTCTTCAACTTAAATATCGTTTTAAAGAATAATAAATATAATAGCTTGTTAATTAAAGAGAGGGAACAATGTGTTCATTCAATACGTTCATCTTTTTTTTTAAAATTTTTTCAAAAAAAGATATCAGAATTTGAAATGCTTTTTAGTGAAAGTGAAATGATATGACATTTGAAATTATTTTTTAATATATGTTCTTTCCATTTTTAAAAGTGTACTGAGTAAAAATATTTCGCTCAAAGGATATCTATTTAGAAAACATGACTTTGCTTGTTAGTATTTTTTTCAAATAAATAAATGATGCTCTGTTTATATATGTTTATAAAATTGATACATTCTGAATAAAAACTCTTTTATCGATGCAGAAACACGGCGAGTTGGTGAAAACACTGTCCGAGTTCTTCTGTCTGCCAGAGATGATTCGATGTACAACACAAACAGAGTCCGCCAGAGGAGACCGTGTGGTTTTTGGAGGCGGATCAGGGGAAAGTGTTAACAGTTTACAATGGCAATGTACATAGAAGAGCTGGGCGCGGATCATTTATATAAGACTTCTAGTCAAGATGTCTTTCTCATAATGACTTTAATCAACACCAGAGGCCTTTTCATCTTTCAAGTGAAAAATACCACCCGAATATACATCAAATTCTTTTGTTGGAAATTTGCAACAATCGTGAAGACACCCAAGATAAGAAGTGCATAAAGCACCTGTGATTTGATAAAAATACAAAAAGCACTGTCATTACTTACATTTTTGTGTAAAATTTGTGGCCAAGAAATCAGCAATATATATACAGAAACATTGAGGCGATGCCGAACTTCACACCCTTGTTCAGATTTCTGTACTTTATTCTGGCATTAGACCAATTAATTTGTGATTTATTATACTCACTGTGGATATTTTTATGTGATTATATGCAAAGAGATGAAATCTCAAAACTAGATGTAAATGCAAATATTTTATTTCTCAGCGCTGAAATACGTTCAAGAAATCTTTATGTATGAAGTCTCTCAAACATCTTTTAATTGAAAATTTGATTATTGTACTGTATATTTAGTGTGAAATTTTTTTCATATAAAATGAAGCAATCTGGCAATTCAAAACACACGCGTACTTCTAATTAGTGCGCTTTGAAGACAAAGCTTGTAAAAAAAAAATGTAATATATTTCTCTATTTTTATGTGTTTAGTCAATGTTACTATGAAAATAAAGTTATAAAATCAATGCGCATCAGTCAATTCGAGAATATGAAGGGTTGTTCATAATTACCGTCTCTTTATGTATTATTACATTCACATGAAAGTACTGAGAAGTGATGAATTATCTGTTCTACGGGTCATTTTCTGTTCGCATATTTCAGAATTTTACGAAATGAAACATAATTGCTACTGTGCCAAGCTGATTAATTAACCTGTACAGCTTCAAAGTAGGAAAATATTTCTAATTTGTGATTCAATAAAAAAAAATATTCTTCGTATCTGAAAGAAGATGGTGTTGTATGGTCAACTGAAGACAAAAAATTTCTTGTCAACGAATTAATCTGCAAATTCCTAATTTGTTTCTCTCAAAATTTGAGGAGATATATTTGTTTTGGAAAGGTTGTCTACCCGTCTGGTTACATGAGTAAAATATAAAATCCTGGCCCCATGACCACAAACTGAGAGTCCTGGCCCCAACACCATAAAGTAAGAAAAGACTTAAGTCAAAATTTTGATTTTTAATATATCTTAGTTTTATTTAATGTATATGCTTAAAAAATTGCAATTTTATATAACATTTAAATTAGATATATGATAAAAATTTTGTTTCATTATCAAAATTATTTCAAAAGTTATATTGGTTTGAAATTTTGACTTAAGTCTGTTCTCAGTTTATGGTCTTGGGATCTGGTCTTAACTCAAAAATTTTTCATTAAAATGAATTCACTCTTAAGTGTCTCGTTCATAAAATGTTCTCGGCCCAAGTACATTGCTAATGCCAAACTTTTGTGAATAATTAATTAAAGGTACATACAATCATGTAGATGGTGGCTATCTTTACTGAAAAGATTTGAAACTTGAATGTTGGTCCGAGTTACCAAATGATGTGTCGTGTCATGATCTTATTCAAGGTCATATCTTGAATGCACTGTCTTAGAGGAGTAATGACAATAGTATCAATGGTGCTTAGAGGAAGAACTCTCATAATGGGCCAAGGTTTGCATGCAAAAATTAAATATATTAATGATAACTTGAGTCATTCATCTTGTCCAAAAGTAAAAAAAAAATGGCGCTAAAATAATTTTACACAAAATATCTAGATGTCCTTCTACGAAGGGGTGAAAACACTGATTGAAATATGTTACACTGGTAAATATATATTTTTTAATTACATGCATTCGGTACATTTATTGCATGAATGTTCAGGAAATATGAAGAATCATTCAGCCAAGAAAAATCTGAAGAAGCCCTCGAGGGATATAATTTTTCTTGGCTGAATAATTCTTCATATTTCCCTAACATTAAGGCAATAAATTGTATTTTACTGAAACAAGCCAAACCTTAAAGCAAGAGGCCCAAGGGCCTTGACGGTACCAATAACATCCGAGAGAAAAAAAATTGTGCAAAAAAGGCAAGAGTAAATAAATGAACCACACACCCTAACTCTTAACTCTTAGAATTCAGTGAATTTAGCCCACTACAATTAATTTATAACGATAAACAGCTCCACAAAAGTAAAATGCGAAAGCGAAAGTGCAATATTAGTGTCTTTCCTTCGCACTCTCCCCTTCGCATCTTCACCCTTCGCCGTCGCATCATCACCCTTTCGCCTTCGCAACTTCACATGCGCCTTCTCAACTTCGCACTCTCGCCCTAAAGGCAAAAGTGCGAAGGTGCGAGTGGCCTCAACGGAATACAGTAGCTATTATTTTTACACTGAATTGTCTACGGATTCTTCTGTTTGCCCGATCATATCCAGTAGCACAGGGCGGGTGTGGCCGGGTGATGCTTACTCCTTCATGGCAGCTGATCCCACCTTTTGATGTTTTTAGAGGAGCTTGTTTGCTTTGCTATTATATTGTCTTGATTACTGTTCGTTATCTTCACAGCTTCTTTTTTCATTGAAATGAACCAATTAAATGAAAAACTACAGTATACACAAAATGAGAAAAAATTTAACCAGAACTAGAATGATTCTAGAAATTAAAATACTCCAGTATCTCTTCCTTGCAGTTTTGTTTTAAAGAAATTGCATGGAAAAACTAAATTATTTCAATCATTTCCTTGATAGATACAAACTGAACTGGATTCAAAGTATATTACAAAAATAAATCATTTCTAAGGGTTGCTTTCCTGTGGCTTAGTTCACTTATTTAAAGCTGACCGAGTTCATCCGCCACAATTGAAAATTCACATGCATGATTGAAATACTTCGTAGAAAAGAAATAGATTTCTGGGAAACATTCAGTGATATTCTAAAAAAATAAAAAGGTGTAGTCTAGATTGATTCGATAAGTGCAAAAGTTATATGTTATATAAATATTTCTTCAAATATTTTGCGCAGTATAGTTCATGTATTTATGCTTTTGAAGACATTATTTTGAGATAATTTGATCAAATTCATCTAGAAATACTACATGTGTAGTAGTTGATTAAGGTAGTATGGGACACCTCCATGTGATTACATGTACGTACTTCCGTTTGAAGTATTTGATTTGGTTGACTGCTTATTATCGGGTAAAAAATAATGCACGTTTTCACAAGTTGGCATTTTACGAGTATTTAAAATAGACAAAACTCTGCGAATCTGTAACTACTAATATTTGTACTAAGGTCATTTAAAAAACCTATAAAAGATTAAGTTTAAAGTTTAAACATTGCTGTTTTCGAACAATTTGGCAAAAGATGTACATGTATTTCCATTGTTGGAGCAGCAGTTCACCTCCTTGTGTGCGCTGATGACTAAGTACGATTACTTCACATTGTGCTGAGCTATTAATTATTTATCATGTAAACAAAAACTAAGCTTCTCTGTTATTTCATTCAGGAAATTTCTGAAATAGCACCTTCTTCTTCTCTGCTCCTGTGTATTATTTTAATAAACTTAGTGCATGGTATGATGAGCAAAGATGCCTCTTCCAAATTGTGAAATTCATGGCCCCAGGGTCGGGGGTTCTGTTGAAAAGGGGTGGGGCTGTATTGATTATATAGTGAAAATGCATTAATTCTTTGAAAATATTCTTCTCTGCTCCTGGATATTAAACAAATTAACGAAGTACATAGTTATGATGAGCAAGGGTGTTTCTTGCAAATTGTGAATTTCATGGCCCCTGTGTCAGGGGTTCTGTTGTTAGGGTGGGTGGGTTTCTGTTGATTATAGTAAAAATGCATTAATTCTTTGAAAAACCATCTTCTCTGCCCCTGGGTATTATTCAAATAAACTTAGTGCATGGTTATGGGTACGCATGAGCTACATTAGTGTGATGGCACAAAAATTTATGGTAAGCAATGGTTTAATTAAATTAATTGTACAATGACGTTTTACGTTCAAACCATAGAGAGCTCCACAAAAATAGGCGAAAGTGCGAAGGCGAGACTGCGAATTTGCGAAAGCAAAGGAGCAATACTAGTATCCCTCCTTAGCCTTTGCACCTTTGCACTTTCGTCCTCGCACCTTCGCCATCGCATCTTCGCATTTTCGCCTTCGCAACATCGAACGCTCGCATCTTCGCTCTAAAGGCGAAAGTGCGAGTGGACTCAACGTAACACCATATGTAGCCTAACAATTTGTATGGGAAAAGTAAGACAACATTCTACTTCATGATAGATTGTATTTGCTAACAAGATCAATGTATCGACCTTAGAATTTGTGAAATGTTAACTTTTAATGAGATTGTTGATATCCTTGCACCCTTACATGTATTTCTAGCATAGAAACCGTTGAAACCTCCTGCAATGTCTGGTATTGATGTGTTCTTTTCAAAGACTTTTAAAAATAATTCCTTCTAAAGCAAATAAATTCCAATTTTATTTATTTATTTATTTTTGGTATCTTTCCATGCAAACATGTCTCTTGCACTTTTTTAATTTATCTAGTCATTTTGTTGTTTGCTGCACTCTTTTCTTTTCTTTTCATTATATTGTATAATAAGCTAAGATATGCTACGTAATAACTCTTGTGTATAATTTATCTTTTGCATTTTTTTCTTTTCTAGTTACATTAGAAATTAATATAATTTATTATGAACGATTTCATCATCGTAAACCATTACACATGATAATTGTTAATTTTTAACATTTGTAACCTTGACCTTCTTTGGGAGGACTCATATAGGCTATATCTGAAGTCCAATCCAATTTTGAAATTTGACATTACATAATAAAATACTGATTTAATTAAAGCAAATAAACTGGCCTTTCAGAAATGTGTTCGCATCCAAGCTAAAATAAGTACTCCTATTTAGTTCTCCTTAGTACATATCAATTTACATAAAATTTAATCCTAAAAATTTAGCACAAGCTTTTGAGTCTATAAGAGACACAGACTCAGTGTTTAATCGGTGCCCCTCGGATAATCCTCAGGGATATTAAACATATGTCATATGTGCAGTGTTTTGGTAAAATTTTAAAAGTTCATCTAAAAAATTGAAAGAATGTAAAGTTTTTATTAGAGGTATATTTGAAGATTCCTTTTCCGATCACATGTCTTCTATTTCAAAATGTTCTGTGAAAAACTGCAAAACCTGTGACGTTTTGATTACTAATACTTCTTTTACCAGATAAGTAATCTTCCTGGACATAGCTTCTATACCAAAACTTGGAGAAAATCTCAACTGCAAATCTTCTAATATTGTCTACGGAATAGAATGTGAATCTTTGTGGACTTATTTATGTTTGTGAAATCAAGGGTTCACTTAATGAAAAAATATCAGGACATAGATTTCAAATTAATAATGGGGGCAGCAGCTTCTATACAAACACTTTAGTTTACCTGATCATTCTATTTTATCAATGAAAGTAAGAATTTTAGGAAAGATTAACCATCATGCAAATAGTCCATCATTGGGTACATCTTCCCGTAGACAACGAGAAAAATACTGGATGAGAAAACTAGCACAACCTTTCCATATGAATGCAATGACAGTGATGATAGTTTTGGGAATCTTTCCAGTCCACAGTGTAGCAATGTAAATGTGATGGGACTTTTTAGCCATACGCAGAGACGTATTGGCATTGGTATTTCGATAAACCTATTATACACGATGTTTCCCTTGATTCTTTACTACCTTATGTAAATCAACAGTTAAGTCTTCATCACATTCGCACCAAACTTTACTCTGTCCCTTTGAAATTTTTAAATAGTCTACTTGAAAAGGTCAAGGAAAGTCCATATTTGGATTTCTCGACACCAGAATACAGACTCGGATCTGTGGTTATGGATATTGCAGATCATGTTAGGCTTTTTAAACCGCCACGGTTTAAATACAGCTAAAACAACCTGTTTTTTCCTTAAACATCAATATTTCAAATAAGGCATTGACGCGGTTAATATAAGTAACCAATGCATCACATAAATTTCAAAATGCAGTTAAGATTTTCCCAAGTTTTGGTAAAGAAGCTCTGTCCAGTAAGATTACTAGTAAAAGAAGTGTTAGTAATCAAAAGGAATTAATATAAGTAATATCATTAAATACAAAATAGTCCAGTCTTGTATTCCACCATATTTCAAGTCGAAGACTACACCTCGTATTTCATACAAATATATATCGTCTATTGCTTCCAAACTTTTAATAACAAGAAAACGTTACTGAGCCTAGATATCAAACATCTGAAACATTCCATCGTGGTCATGTTCTTCTTCACCCTACAACTATAGTCCTGCTGGACACGTTATTACTGGTGACATAAAATAGTTAATAATGAGGACCTTAAGTCACTTATTTTAAAAGTGCCAAAACTTAGGGAACCCCGATCTTTCAACTGGAGTCGTTATTTTATAAAAATTATGAACTCTGTGGAAGATTACACCAGGCAATGGGCCAGACATGAAAAAGAAGACCTTGACACTTTGTAAGAATTGGATTAAGTGTATCAGATGTATGTTAAAATCTCGCATTAAGCGATTGAGGGGTAATATGAAAACCATCTATCCTTCAGTGTTAAATAATTCAGAAGTGAAAAAAGAATTAGATTACACGATCAGTATGTATTGGTCCCAGCTGACAAAGCAGGTAACAACATTGGCTTTGTTAGTAAGGCTCATTATAGAGGAACTGGGATTTAATTCTACAGGTGGTAATCCAACTTATACCCATAGCTCCCTTTCTAAGGAGGAAATTCTTCAAAATCATATGTCAGTTTTGAATATTTATAATATTCCAAACAACCAAAATGAATTTGAATTACCATATCTATATTGGATTCCTAATCTTAATAAAAAAAAATCCTTACAAAGATACATAGCGGGTTAGAGTAATTGTTCTACCAGGCCTTTTTTACTCCTCATTAAAATATTAACAGCGGTGAAGGAGAAACTTTAGGAGTACTGTGCAACAATATATTCTAGAAGTGGTGTAAATCAGATGTGGATACTTAAAAATTCCAAGGAACTTTTGGATAATTTGAAATCACAAAATTTTACCAAAATCAATAACATCATAACTTATGACTTTTCAACTTTATATACAACCATTTCCCACGATAAATTAAAGTCGGGGGGGGGGGGGGGGGGAGGGGTGACATCATTGACAGCAGCTTTTTCATTAATAATGGACCTTGTAAATATACTTACCTTGTCATTGGTCATCTGCAAAATTATTTTGTTTAAAAAAAACATTCTGATTGCACACACAAGTACTCTGAAGTTGATATTAAAAAGATGCTTGCGTTTCTTATTGACAATATCTATGTGTTTTGTGGAGACCAGGTCTTCCAACAATCTCTTGGAATTTTTATGGGTACCAATTGTTCCCCGAAAATTTTCACGAATTCTTGGCATTGTTGTATATAACCTATACTAACAAAAATATACAGGAGAATGAAATTTTCGCGATTAGACCGTCTCGTGTAATTACGCGAAAATTAAGTTCTCGCTAATAAAAAGTGATTTACAGTATATAGAAAAATTGTGTTATAGTATGAAGAAATTATCATTTTAGCCCTCTTTGATATGTGTGTGCATGCTATTTCACAGACGAATAATTTCAACACTTGTGAGATCGCATGCATTTTTATTGACTTGTTCGCCCATCTTCTTGATGAAAACTTGAAGCTGATGTAATCAGAAAAATATTCAGTAGGAAAAGAAATATATCAAACATAAAGTGGAACACATATCTTTTTTTCTCTAAAGTTCAAATTAACGACACTTTAAATGAATTTTGAGCAAAGAAAGTGCAGCTGCTTCAGACTTTTCGAATGAAAATAGAACGATCATCATAAAAAAAAAACTGTCATCACTTTACGATATATTCCATCTGTACCAAAATATCACCCAAGCTTACATAAGAAATGGTTAATTAAATTTAAATAGAATCGAAGTTAGATACAACGAATCAAATGCCAAACATTTTCAATTTCTTTTTAGTTTTATAATAAATATTATAGGGGCTATCTTAGATATTACATTATCTTACATTATTTTTTTATTTTGAATTTAGCTGTGAAAAGTGTTATTGAAAGCAACTTGTTCCTTTGGCTCAAAATTTCACTATCTTTCTCTTCTATTAATTTCATTTTACTTTATAAATAGTCTATACGATAAAATAAGACTACATAGGTACACACATGACCCCCCTCCAAATAAAGTTAATTCAAATAGCCAATTGAACGACATAATTCTTCAAAGGACTTACATGTATACACATTTGAAAAAAAAAATATCCACAGATCTGGTATCCATAATATTTGACAATCTTGATTTAATAGCGGTCATAAGGCAATGTTACGAAAGTTAATGCTTCGACAGGATGCATTATCAACCCGATTCGATGATTTTATATATATATATATATATATATATATATATATATATATATATATATATATATAATTATGCATCATTATATGCTTTAAAGGATGATATTTTGAGCTTTGATCTTGCTTTATATTTATGACTTTTTTTTTCTTTTTAAATACACCTGCTGCAAAGTGTAAATACGAAATGTTATCCAACAAGAATTCAATAATTACTTAAGTTTTCTTCTTTGAAATTATGACCTTTTGACTTTGTTCACAGTGCAAAAATCTTTTTTCGAAACTGTTTTGAAAGGTTATTAGTGTAAAATATGTACTATGTTTTAAAATCTTTTTTCGTTAAAAAACGGATAGTTTTTTTTTTTGTTTGTTTTTTTTTTTTTTTTTCGTAGAAAACTTGTATAATCTTGTATGCAATGAAGTAAAGCTTCAGTAAATCTATATAGATGTTTGACCAATTTATAGTTGTTAAACATGATACCAAAAGTAGTTTGTTTACTTGCCTTTAATACCATTGTTGACCAATTGACTCTCCGTTATCAGATGTACAATGTTTGATTTATTCAACCTTTTGTGTCATTTGATAAAGGGATTTGACCAAGAAAACGTACCAAATGCACTCATCTTGACAGGAGGAAAATGAAAATTTTTGCCATTGGTTGTTTTATAATAGCAGTCTTAATGGTTAGTTGTGTTTGCTATGACAACAAAGTGTCTTCTTCTTACGGTAAGGTAAATTTCATCCAGTTATAACTCAATATTTATACAAAATATGGCAATATAATACTTGCTTCGCTAGTTTAGGATACAAAGTCATTGTTTATTACAAATTATCTATGTTAAGAGTACTGAAACACTTTTAAGCCATATATATTTCAAATTTATAGTGAGTGTATGTTTCTTATCCTTTTTTTATAACAGCTTTGCCAGTACGTAACCGGAGAGAGCTTCACCATAGTGGGCTGAGAATGATGGCTTACGCCAGGCAAGCGGGACTTTATGGAACCAACATCAGGCGCAGTCGCAGACGACATTGTCCTAGTTGGATAAAGAGACTTCTAAGAAGATGTAGATTGGAAATTGTAATTAAATCTTAACAACTTAGACGTTGAAAAATGCCAGGAACGAATTTAAAAACTGATCAATAGCAATTTCTCTGAACACCTATGACTTGATTTTATTAATAGTTTAAACTTACCTTCATACCTTTTATACTTTTCTAAATATATTTACTACATGTATATTTAACTGTTTTATTACATTATTAATATTGATCAGGTAGAAATAATAAATATGAGTTTCCGATGCTGTGCATTCACGGAATTTACGATGTTGTGTTCATAGACTTTACGATGTTGTGCGTTCATGGACTTCACTATGCTGTGCATTCAGGTATTAAGATGCTGTGCATTCACGGAATCTACTATGCTGTGCATTCACAGTGTTGTGCGTTCACGGAATTAACGATGCTGTGCATTCACGGAATCATTTTACAATCGTATATTTCATTGAGCTCCTGATATCGTTGTACATGTAAAATATCAGTAAATATTTCTCTTGCAACACTTGTTTTATATTTACGATGTAGTAGCTGTCCAGACCAGAATTAAACAGTGATTTAAATCAAAATAAATACGTTCAAAGAATCACATCCGTTTTCTCGGTAGTATTTCAAACCTCAATATTTGACAATCCTGTTAATCCTATAAATTAACCATTAATTACATAAAATAATTGATTATCTCTTATTACGAAGTGGAAAATATCACAAATTTACACAGTAGCCCCATTTTCTGGTATTGATCCACGTGGTCTAATAAACATGTTAAGATTTGAGTTCACTGCAAACATGAGCTTGAAATTCTTAATCTTCTAAAGGTTCATTATGATAAGAGATCGGTATCAATGAGGCGGCACATTTCACATTGACCATTTTAGACGCAGAATATTGGTGGAATTAACACTATTGTCCTCTGAAGAGATCCAAGAACAACATTGGTGAGTACAACTTAAATATTGTTCACATGCTAATATTAAAATTAAATTAATTCTAAATTGTGAAATGATTCTGAAAATTAGATGGGTTTATTTGTTTTATGCCATTTTTTTGTAGATACCTGTATACCAGATTCGACTGAAGATAAAACGACAAATACCTGTCCCAAAACGCGCTTTTGCCATGACATTTACACATATCATGAGGGGAATCATTTCTATATATGCTCTCCTGACAGGATGCATAGTTCAAAGTATACCATGTGCTTTACTTTATAATTAGACAACTGCTTAAAATCAATATTTTTTTAACATTCTATTTTAACGTTAAATGTTTGTTTGTGTTAAATTGTTGATTTTACATGAATTGTTTGTGTTTATTATTGTAGAAGTTTGTGAGTGTTTCTTTGGAAAAGAGTTTTTATTCGGGACATTCTCACTAAATGAAACAGAAAATCAATCATTTATCATCTTAAATCCCTCCGAAGACAAAATAGCAACTGTTAACATTACTAGGCAAGGCGTTTCTACTGTTGAACACGTTCTACAGAAAGAATCCTTTTATGTAAATGGATTAGCAAGCAATGATTCTATTTTAGTGCGTTCGAACGAATATGTTTCACTTCAAGGGTTATTTGGTAATAACAATATTCATTACACCATACTTCCAATTTCATCCCTTGGAACAAATTACATTTTGGTCTATGGAGTAAATTTCAATGCTTCGGAAACTATTTGTAGTATAACAGCGCTTCGAAATCAGACATCTATAGAAATCAAAATGTCCGATAAAGGAACATTTCCTAACTCAACGTCCTTCCCCTCAGATTATATCCAGACGATGACCCACATGGAAAATATTCAGATTCAGAATCTGCAAGGTTTATACAATGTCTCAATAACGGCTTCTGCGTTGATATCCGTCGTGTGCGGCGAAAAGGATCGAGTCAACAATATCCGTGTACACCTGCCACCCATTGACCTCTGTATTATGACGTCATATGACGTCCCTTGCTTTGACATAAGCAAAGTCCCTCCAGGAGAGGTACATGTTAGGATCATTAAGATATATCCACTTTACCAAGACGCCACGGATATATACATCGACGGGTCACGTGATAATAAGACTAACCAGGAGAAATCCATGAATAAGTCTTTTAGAATAACTGCCAATAATCCATTTTGTGTCCGATCTCACATTCGAAAGTGGAAATATGGAGCTTTGACTTTTTATAATGACGATTTTCAAATCTCAATCAAAGTCGAAAATTCAACCACTTCTTGTTTTCAATCACCGCAGGTAATTGAGACTTGTAAAACAAAATCTGTTTCATCAGCAAAGCGAGGAATGTTAACACGGTTTTTCTTTGAAATGTTTTAAAACTGTTTTCTTGTTTTTGTTTTCCAGGACCTCAATGATACACTTTCAGGTAAGCTTGACTTTCGTAGGTAGGTAATTTAGAGGTGAAGCAGTGAACATTTTTAACAAGGGGTTAATAATTTATTGGACGTTATGTTTAACATTCCTTTCGTATAGTAAAGTAAAATTATCTAAATGTTGATGCAAATTACCTTTGGCATGGGTACAATATTCAACAATGATTTTTTGTTTCAAAATGTCGCTAATTATCTCCTATAATATCAAAATAAAATAGAACCTACAATAAAACTTTTATTCCCACAATCCATTCATAATTTTCCACCGTATCCTGAAAATAAAAATCCTATTACTTTGTGTTTTTTAAACCAGTAATTCAAAAAAATTCCTTTTTCTTGAAATTAAGCAGACATCTTCCAAGCTCAAGGTAAACCATATCGTTACACGTACTTTGTCTAACCTCTAAAATTCTCTTACGATATGAAATGCAATTTATGTACTTTTGCCACACAGATCTCTTAAGAAAACCCTACAAGTTCAGCTGTATGGCATAACACTATTTATCCAAGTATCAAAAAGAGCAAAGAGAGGTTCGATATTGAAGTTCAGATATTTAGGAAAATAAGCATCATGCCCAGATATTGAGACTGATTTGGGCTGGAATTATCATTATTTAACTAAAACCATTCTGGAAATGCCGTTTTGTAACGATCGTTTTCAAATCTTATCCCCCATCAAAAATCATGCTAATCCAATTTCGTTTTCATAGATTATTACGTATAAGTACTGTGCAAGCATTGCATAATACATCAAAAACATGTGATTCATATTCAATAATCTTGAAAATTATACGCTAAAAATTAAAAAAAAAAAAAAAAACTGTTATTCATATGCAAAAATTTGGGATTCGTATTCAATAATCTTGTGATTTGAATGCAAAAGCCGATATTCATATTCGAAAACGTTATTTATAGGCAAAAACGCATTATTCATATTCCACAATCTCGTGATTTATGTGCGACTACCTTGTAATTTACATGTACATGCAAAAAGTTGATATTCATGTTAAGAAACTTGTTTATATGCAAAATATTGTTATTCTTATTTTTTTAAAACATTCTAAATATACATACAAGTACTCCAATGTTGATATTAAAAAGATGCTTCGGTTTCTGATTAATAATATCTATCTAGTTTTTGGAGATCAAGTCTTCCAACAACCTGCTGGAATTCACATGGGTACTGATTGCGCCCCGATATTAACAGACCCATTTTGTAGTTTTAAAAACTTCTACTTGAATAGAAGTCTCTTGTTATGGCCTTCAATTCGAAATTTAGAAATTTCGACGACGTTTTATCAATCAACAATATTTATTTTCATTTCATATGATATGTTCCTTTGAACTTGAAATAAGACACCATAGAGTCCAACACATCTGTTTCATATTTGGATATTTTACTAGAAAAAGACATTAATGATAAACTAACAACAAAACTTCATGATAAATGTGATGACTCCAAGTTTTCTTTCGTCAACTCCCCTTATTTATTTAGCAATTGCATAATTATGGTGTTTATGTCTCCCAAATGATTCGATGGGTGAATTCCAAAAAAATGACCAAACGCATATTTATCAACCCACACTAAAAATACAGGCAATAAAAATAGATTTCTGTGTCTCAGCATGTGTCTTTAGATAGTGTCTAAATACCTGCCAAATATCTCGTTGATATCTCAATTAACAAAAAAGTTATGCGCAAAAATGATGCTAAAATTGTCAGGAGTGCAACACCTTTTTGTGACATTTTGAAATTTCAATATTTTTTTGAGATCTGTGAAATAAAAAACAATGCTTCATGTTGAAAATAAAGACTTTCCTGATAATATTCAAAGTATTGAGCTTTAAATGTGGACTGTCATAACTTTTGTTTATTCAAGTTGTGGTCATGACTGATGTTTAAAAAAATGTTATACCATGTCAGGAGTGCAACAGAAAAAATGTAGTGTTGCCAAAAAAACATCAATTGTAAAATTCTGATAGAAAATTAAGACAAAAAAGAATTTTGGAAGTGTAAAATAATAACTGATATACATTTTAAAACTTAAAAATGTTATATAAATCACAAGAAGCATTAATGAGAGTCAAGTATATGTGCATACCCAAAAATGTCATGAGTGCAACATTTGATGTTTTGCTCCCAAGCATGAAAAAACTATTATCATTATATGATTTTCTGATTTTTATTTTGGAAAATAAAGAGACAAAGAACATTTTTACCAAATAGATTTATCAATTACAGGATCTGTCTGTGCTTCAGATCCATATTTCTATGGTCAGGAGTGCAACACATTTTTTTTAAAGATTCAAGTTGTGTGTCGAAAAGACTTCTATTCATGCTTAGAGGTATTAATTAATTAATAATGATCTTTTTGTATAATTTAATGCTAAATTATTGATAGTTTTGTTATTAAAATTCTTCCTTTTTCAATTTTATCAATTCAGATGTGTTTTTATCTTTTTGTGATTTTTTTAATGAACGTTAAAAATAAACACACTAAACATTGTCATTAAATTCAAGTAATTCCTCCTGAACTTCACTGAAACAACAGAACAAGTTCTTATGTAATTTTCACTTCACAATTCTACTTTAAAGGCCCCAATGCTTTTGGTCAGGAGTGCAACAAATATGTTAGAATTATAAATCATCCACTAAGAATAAAAATGAAGAGAAAATGATGAGTAGAATTTTTCTGGTGGGTTACTGTGTTTGTCTTCTAAAGGAAAATATGCTTTAAAATATATTTTATCTTCTAAATATACATTTAAGCTAGTTTTTTGGCATAAAATAGGGTATAATTCCAGATAAAATGCGAATTTTAAATACTTTCATCTGTTTTAATTATGAAGTATTGGACTATAAGTATTGCACAATTTCATTACCACTTGATGTTGCCAACACTTTATGAATTTTGTGTTCTATGGTTTTAATTTTAAACTTTACTGCAGTCAGGAGTGCAACAAAACTGCTTCATAATTACCGATGCTTTTTAACTAGCTTTACTAAAAAATAAGTTGGAAAAAAAAATGCTTGATACTATTTGATGTTCAAAACACTATGTCTATCAACAAATTACAGAAATTTTACAGTCAATTCAGGGAATAGTTTTCATCATTTCACATATATTTTAAATAAAATTTATATATATTACACTTTGCAAATAATCATGTTTTAAGGTCTTCAAAATATGAAAAACCTGCTGTAAACGATGAAAAATATCAACACGACAAATTGATTTACAAAGTAAGAGTGGGTTATTGTGTGTTATAATTTTTAAAACAATGTTAAATAAAATACATATCAGATGTCAGGAGTGCAACACAATAATGTAACATAGGGTCACTTCAAAATCTAGTATTTTTTGTAAGAAAACTCGTATATAACAATTCTTTTTTGGCTTAGATTTAAAGAATTGACTTGAACGGACAAAAAAGTGAATTTTGGGGAATTTTATTCTTCATATTATTTTTTTTCATATTAAAACTTTTCAAACCAGAATTGAAAAAATAATGTAAAATAACAATCAAAAAGCCAATTTTTTGTCACATGTACAAGAGAAGATACTCATTCAAGGTCTAGATTTAATGATTTATACCCCTTTTACCATTTTGAAGCATAAAAAACTATAATTTCTTGTGATTATGTATTTTAGAAAGTCTTTTAAGGTGTAATGATATTTTATTTTTTCAAAAGAAATTTTACTCATAAAAATTCTGAAACTTTTTAATCCAATTGTCTATTCTATTGCCACTTCAGGATTTTAAACTAGAATGCATTTGCAATATGATGTGATATAAGTGAAAAATATGTTATAAGTAGTTGCATTTTGCCAAAAAAATTCAGTTTGGTGGTCATTTTTTTTAATTCACCCCGATACGCAAGAACATGTTCTACGTACGAACAATTTCTAAAGCGAGACAAGCTTTTGACAAATAAAAAAAGTTAAAAGGATAAGAACAGTTTAAATTTTATTGTTGATACAATGACCTTGTTAGCAAATACAATCTCTCGTTAAATCGAATGGTGATTAACGTTTTCTATACAAATTGTTAGGCCATTACTTCTAAACTGAATTGTCTACGGATATTTTTCCGTTTGCCCTATCATGACAAGGCGCACACAGCAGGTGTGACCAGCCGACAGGGAATGCTTAATTATCCATGGCATCTGATCCCACCTCTGATGTTTTTAGAGGTCCATGTTTGCTCTGCTCCAAATTTGTATTGCTTCAATGGACTTTGGAGCTTGATTACTATTCGATATCCTCACATTTCATATGCGATAATCTTGTAAAATATACCACCTGCATCGGGGTTTATATCTCTCAGTTGATTCGATACGCAAGAGCATGCTTTACGTATGAACAATTTCTAAAACGAGGTAAGTTATTGACAAACAAGTTGATGAAGCAAGAATATCAGCAGTCTCGTTTAAAGTAATCATTTTGTAAGTTATATGGTCGATACAGTGACAACTTGTCAGCATATACAATTTATCATTAAGTTAAATGCTGACTGACGTTTTTATACTAATTGTTAGGTCAATATTTACACACTGATTTGTCGACGGATTTTCCTTTTATTTCCCGATCGTGACAGGGCCACACAGCAGGTGTGACCGGTCAGCAGAGGATGCTCACTCCTCTATGGCACCTCATCCCACCTCTGATGTTTTAGAGGTCCGTATTTGCTCCAAAATTTGTATTGTTTAATGGACTTTTGAGCTTAAATACTGTTCGTTATCTCCATATATTTCATGCGAAAAACTTATAATTCATATTCGACAATATGGTGATTTATATTGCAGATAAATAACTAGATTTTGCGTATAATTCATAAGGTTATCGCATAAAAAATCACAAGAATATCCAATATAAATCACAAGTTTTTGCATATAAATAAGTTTTCGAATATGAATAACAACTTTTTCGAATACAAATCACAAGATTTTTTAATAGATAAATCACAAGATTTGGAATATAAATAATAATTTTTCGAACATAAAGCACAAGAATTTGTATATTACAAACAAGATTATCGAATATGAATCACAAACTTTTCGAAAATTAAAAAAATATTTTTCCTTGTGAATAACGAGTTTTTGAATATGAATATCAACTTTCCGCAAATAAATCATAAGATTTCGCATATAAATCACAAGTTTACAAATATGAATAACAATTATGAAACGTACATCACAAGATTTAGAGTTTGAATAAATTTGCGAATATGAACAACAAGTTTTGAATATTATTAACAAAATTTTATATATATATCACATGTTTTATCAAACAACACAAGATTTGTACAATAATGTAACGTTTTACACGCCCCATTCAAGGACTGATCCTGATCATTAGACACGTCCAATCATTTTAGAGCAGAAAGGAGTTCACTGCAATGGACAGATTAAGTCATACAATTTCCCTTCTTCAATAAGCATTCTTCAAAAGATTTTTATGGAATTCTTCTTAAATTCATGTGGAATTAGAGGACCATCTCATCCATTTTGCACAAAAATTAGCTTGCAGCATCATATACCAACTTCTTAGCAAGTATTATAATGAAGTGTTAAACCAGGAAAAAAAACTATATTGAAATGATGCTTCTGATGTCACTGTCAAAAAATTTTTTTCTTCCGATTTACCGCCCTTTACTTAGGCCATCTTTAAAATATTGTTTGTTTACCCTCTCCTGACCGACTGCCTAAAAATGGCCCGACTCAAAACTTTTTTAAACCTCCAGGAAATATTTTTTATGCATTCTGGAAAATAAATTTTGAAAAATCAGCATTGACGTTGAAATTTTCTGGAGAAAAAAAATTTGCCACCTATCTACCGACCCCATTTTTTCATCCTGAGTCGGGAGAGGACAAACAAATATTATTTTAAAGTTGGCATTACCCTCCCTTCCCCCATCTGTTTCTATGAACAAAGAGGGATAACCTTAAGATATATTTTGCTTTGAACAACCAAATGTAATTTAAACATTTTCTTTATAATGCAGAGAACAACAATACAAAAAAGTGTATGTGTCCGTGCAAAGCGAAACCAGAATGGCACAATTTAACTGATGTTGAGTTCTCTCGGTGGCTTCGGGGGTACATAGTGGCGACTCGAAAGGAACTTGTTCTCGGGAAAAAAGAGCTAACATCTTCAAAAAGACAAAAAATCAGCGCCCCTGATCCACGGATCTCAGCAAAAAGCATTGGAGTTGTGGGTGTCGTCATTATTTGTGGCCTAGTTTGCACATTAATATCATTTGATTGTCCCAGGTTCTTAAAAAGTGTCAAATTGTTGAAGGAAAAGTATTTAACCAACCGACTGGCAAAAGATAGGGACATTTGAAATAATCGTAAAATTATTTGACAATTTACAGATATTACAACATAACATAAGAGAGACACTATCATCAACTATAAAATGTTGTATCAGACCTAAGTACAAAGTGTGAAAGCATACATTTGTCATTTAGATCTTTTAATTTGAATTTAAAACATGTTTGTTATGTAATACTTTGTTATTTTCGATTGGAATATAGCAGAGTCCCTATAAACTTTAAAAAAATCTGTTACCTGTATGTGTCAAATAAGTTTTTGTCCATTAATTAACTTATTGGACATTTATTTTCAGCTAATTGGATAGTTTCATGCAAGCAAAAATCAAAAGAAAAATGATACTTGTCAAACGAAACCAAATTTTTAATTTTGAATATGTTAATTAATGTCACGGGTAACCTAACCTACACAATGAACTTAACGCAATACCCGAAACATTTTTTTTTAACTTTTAGATTCATGTTTATGGAATTCCCATGACATTTTTTTTTATTCACAATTCACATTTAATTCCCTAAATTGGTCATGATTCTTCACAACTACATATAAAATCAGAATTTTAAAGCATATTTCCATGCTTTTTAGCTCACCTGAGCTGAAAGCTTAAGTGAGCTTTTCTTTTCGACTTCTTCTCTCATAACCACTGGGCCAATTTCAACCAAACTTACCACAAAGCATCCTTGGGTGAAGGGGGTTCAAGTTTGTTCAAATGAAGGGCCACGCCCTCTTTTAAGGGGAGATAATTAAGAATTAGTAAAAAATGAATAGCATCTTTTAAAAATCTTCTTCTCAAGAACCACAGAGTCAGGAAAGATGAATCTCATGTGAAAACATCCTCATGTAGTGTAGATTCAAGTTTGTTCAAATCATGACCCCCGGGGGTAGGGCGGGGCCACAATGGAGGATCAAAGTTATACATAGAAACATACAGGAAAAATCTTCAAAAATCCTCTTCTCAAGAACAGCAAAGCCATGATAAGTCATATTTATTTGGAAGCATCCTCAGGTAGTGTAGATTCAAGTTTGTTAAAATCATGACCCCTGGGGATAGGGTCGGGCCACAATGGGGGATCGAAAATTTTACATAGGAACATATAGGAAAATATCTTCTTCTCAAGAGCAGAAAATCATGTGTAGTCATTTTGATGTGGAAGCATCCTCAGGTAGTGTAGATTCAATTTTGTTCAAATGATTACCCCTGGGTATAGGGTGGGCTCACAATGGGGGATCGAAAATTTTATATAAGAACATAAAGAAAAAAAATTTCTTCTCAAGAACAGAAAAGCTATGTTTAGTCATATTGATATGGAAGCATACTCAGGTAGTGTAGATTCAAGTTTGTTCAAATGATGACCCCTGGAATAGGGAGGATCCACAATGGGGGATCAAATTTTTACAAAGAAATATATGGGAATTTTTTTTTAGAAATCTCATGTACAACAAAGCCATTTGTTATATTGACATGGAAGCATCATCATGTAGTTTAAAATTCAAGCCCCCCCCCCCTTTATCTTTTCAATACTGAACTGATTTGTGCTTTTGCCTAGCCAATGTGCTCAGGTGAGCGATGTGGCCCATGGGCCTCTTGTTTATGAATTTCACCTTAATCCAGAGGCATTTTACGAAAAGGTGTAAGACCAATGTGCACTTAACTTCCGTATTTTTAGACTGCTTCCCATCAAATCATCTAGACCTTTTCTTTAATTAAAAAACAATGGAATCTTTCTATGTTTTCCACATATTAGCTGGCATGAACTATTTCCTCTTCAGATATATCCGAAAATAAATCGCTTTTTTGAATGAAATTTGGCTTCATAGCAATTCTTATTCTCCATAATCAAATTATCACTTAGAACCATCTTAATTTATAATGAGTGAAAACTACGGTCAGCATCTGAGGAAGACATGGTAACACGGCCTATTAGTGAAAGTGAACTGAATATAAAATTGGTGAACATTTTATAATTTTTATTTAGATTGTATATTTTTTCATTCGATTTTCTTTTTTAATAATTTTCCATTTGGATTCATCATGTATAACATTGATTTGTATTGTATAATTGTTTTATTTGTATTCTATATTTTCCATTTGCATTGTATAATTTCTTATTTGTATTGTATAATTTCTTATCTGTATGAGACAATTTTTCGATTGTATTGAGGGGCAATATTAAAACCATCTATCCTTCTGTGTTCAATAATTCAGAAATGAAAAAAGAATTAGATAGACTACACTATTAGTATGCACTGGTCCCAGCTTACAAAGCAGGTAACAACAGTGTCTTTGTTTGTAAGGCTCATTATTTTAATTGTATTTTAGAGAAACTGGGATTTAATTCTGCAAGTGGTAATCCAATTTTACACGTATCTCCCTTTCTAAGGAGGAAATTCTTCAAAATCATATGTCAGTTTTGAATATTAATATTCCCAACAACCAAATAAAATTGAATACCATATCTATATTGAATTCCTAATCTTCATAAAAATCCTTACAAAGATACATAGCAGGTTCCAGTAAATGTTCTACCAAGCCTCTTTCTTTACTCCTCACTAAAATATTAACAGCAGTGAAGTAGGAGTACTCTGCAACAATATATTGGTGTAAATCAGATGTGGATACTTCAAAATTCCAAGGAACTTTTGAAAAATTTGAAATCACAAAAATTTATCAAACTCAATAACATCATAACTTATGACTTTTCAACTATGTATACAACCATTCCCCACGATAAATTATAGTCTGGGTTTTTTTGACATCTGCTTTTTAATAGAAATGGAACTCGTAAATTTACTTACCTTGTCATTGGTCATTTGCAAAATTATTTTGCTAAAAAAAACATTCTGATTGCACACACAAGTACTATGAAGTTTATATTAAAAAGATGCTTGCGTTTTCAATTGACAATATCTATGTGGTTTTTTGGAGACCATGTCTTCAAACCATCTGTTGGAGTCCCATTGGGTACCAATTGCGCCCCGAAAATTTTTCACGAATTCTAGATATTGTTGTATATAACTTATACTAACAAAAATATACACGAGAATGAGATCTTCGCGAGCAGACCATCTCTAGTAATTATGCGAAAATTAATGAATTTGAATTAACATATTTATATTGGATTCCAAAACTTCATAGATACATAGCGGGTTAGAGTAATTGTTCTACCAACCCTCTTTCTTTACTCCTCACTAATATATTAAAAGCAGTGAAGGAGAGACTTCAGGAGTACTGTGCAGCAATATATTATAGAAGTGGTGTAAATTAGATGTGGATACTTAAAAATTCCAAGGAACTTTTGGAAAATTTGAAATCACAAAATTTTACCAAAATCAATAACATCAAAACTTACGACTTTTCAACTCTTTATACAACCATTCCCCAAGATAAATTAAAGTCCAGGCTTTTTGACATCTACTTTTTCAATAAAAATGGAACTCGTCATTTGCAACATTATTTTGTTAAAAAAACATTCTGATTGTACACACAAGTACTCTGAAGTTGATATTAAAAAGATGCTTGAGTTTCTGATCGACAATCTACCCTGAGAGTCAAAGCTATTCAGCTCCTATCACTCCCAACCTCAGAGTCAAAGCTACTCAGCTCCTATCACTCCCACCCTGAGAGTCAAAGCTACTCAGCTCCTATCACTCCCAACCTCAGAGTCAAAGCTACTCAGCTCCTATCACTCCCACCCTGAGAGTCAAAGCTACTCAGCTCCTATCACTCCCACCGGTACCATCCTGAGAGTCAAAGTATCTATGTGGTTTTTGGAGACCAGGTTTTCCAACAATCTGTTGGAATTTCCATGGGTACCATTGCGCCCTATTATTAGCAGACCTATATTTGTATTCATATGAAGCAGAATTTATTTTAAATCTTATGCATGAGAAAAAGAAAACACTTGCTGCTGCCTTCAACTGAACATCATATTGACAACGTATTGTCAATAAACAATAGTTATTTCCATTCATATGTCGACACGATATACCCCAGTGAGCTTGAAATAAAAGATGCCACAGAGTCGGACACTTCTGTTCATATTTGAATATTTTACTAGAAAAAGACGTTATAAATGGTAATCTAAAAACAAAGCTTTATGATAAACGTGACGACTTTAACTTTTCAATCGTCAACTTCCCTTACTTATGCAGCAATATACCCTCATCACCTGCATATGGGGTTTATATCTCTCAGTTGATTCGATACGCAAGAGCATGCTCTGCGAATAGACAACTTCTAAAACGAGGGTAAGTTACACAGGCTAAAACTTGACCATGGAAATCCTTCGTAACAAAACAAATAAACAATCCTCGGATGCAATACAAATGAAAACAAGCAAATTCAGAGAATTTGTGTCCCCGCTTAAGGTAAAAGAAGAACATGCACGGATCTAGAAAGGGGATCTAACCCCCCCCCCCCCGGATTTTGCAGTAATTAAATGTATATACTGAGGCCAAAAAAAAAACTTTGGGCCACCCTCCCTTTCCCCACTAGAAAACGTGGACCCTGTTAAGAAATAGGTTTTCATGGTTGGGAAAGGAGTTCAGTTTTTTTTTTGGGGGGGGGGGGGATATCAATTGTTTCTGGGTTGGAAGTTTCTTGACTGGGGCGGATCCCCCTCCCTTGGAAAAAAAATTGCATTGCGCTTGGAAGAGGGTGGGAGAAATGGAAAAAAAATTGCAGATGGAGAAAGAATAAATGTCTACCTTGATACACGTTCGATATTGTCAAAAATTTACACAACATATGGTGTCTAATTTAGCCTTTACTAAACAGTTCTAAAACATTTACCATGTAAAGTCCGCCGACAACCTCTACATTCTCCCCTGCTAAAAATAGTGCCACATGACTTTTAATACAAATTTCATTGCAAAAGCTCATAAGCTTCTTGAGATATCACCTGGAAACGAAAGTGTTACACACAGACAGAATTTATGAATTCATGGCCTTGACCTTTGAACTTCTGAATACAAAATCAATAGTGATCTTCTTTGGTCATAGGGAGTTGTGGTATAAAATTTCATTGCAAAAGCTCAAAGGATTCTCCAGATATCGCGCGGAAACGACAGTTTTAAAAGCAGTCAGAATTATAAATTTAGGATATTGACCTTCAACCTTTTGACCTCAAAATCATTAGGAGTCTTCTTTAAGCCATAGGAAGATGTGATAATTTCATTACAAAAGCTCTAAGGCTTTTCGAGATATCGCCCGGTAACGAAAGTGTTACACACAGATAGAAATACAGACAGACGGACGGACGCCTAGACGGACGAATGGACAGACGGACCTAGATTAATATCCCACTTTTCGGTGAAGGCGGGTGACAATTATCAAATACAAATAAGAAATTTAACAATACAAATACACACAAGAAATTTACAATGCAAATGGAAAGTATAGAATATAATAAAATATTATACAATTCATATGATTTTTTTTACAATACAAATAGGTAATATAGAATACAAATAAAAAAAATTAAACAATTCAAATAGCAAATTATAAAATACAAACAGAGAATTATATAATACAAATAAAAATTATACAATAAAAATGAAAAATTATACAATACATTACAAATGGAAAATTATACATGTAGAATACCAAAAAAATTATACAAATGGAAAATTATACAATACAAATCGAAAATATAGAATACAAATAAAAATTATACAATACAAATGGAAAATTTTACATTTGCAAACGGAAATAATGCCATAGAGCCACATTTTATTTCTTTTATGAGTAAAGACACCATAAAAAAATCACAATGATATTGAAATAAAATGTACGACTTGAACTAAATAAAAATTACCAAAGGATATCGCACATGCAAATATGACGAAATATTCGTGAAATCATAAAAATAAAATTTTCAAGTGAAGGACTGAAACAGGGAAAATACTAATGCTATGCCCCCTAAACTCGCTTTCCTCTCCTCTTTAGTCCTGAATTTTGTGTTGAGATAATCACCTATCATTTTGAGAATTTCGACACAAAAATCATGTTTATAGCAGTCAAAGTTTAATTCAGATTTCACCACCACAGACAAAGTGTCAAGTATGGCCTCAACGAATTTGGAGGAATTGTTACCAGTTCCGGCTTGGAGGTGACTAATAAGAGACACAACTGATTCTGCGTGGGTTGTTCGGGATAAGTCGCCTTCTTGATATTTCAAGTCTTCGATTTGTTCTTTGGAAATGTAATCAATAATTTTTTCAGCAGTTTTCTTGGAAGAAAAGTAAACATCTAAAGCTCTTTCTGGATCTGAGAGTAGAGATTTAAGTGCAGTGATAACTTGAAAAGATTCTTCCTCAGAAAAATGAGCAATTAAATTACTTTCGATAAAGTAATGTCGCAAGTAAAGTTTCTCAAGGCATTCAACCATGTATTCTATAACATTCCTCAAAACTGAAAAAATACCAACTGTGTCCGAAAACTGGTCTCTTTGGGTAGTTTCAGACACGTGATAAAATGCTGACTTCCAAAGATATGTGGTCAGTCGCTCTGAATATGGTTTTAGAAAGCCTTTTAGTAGAGATTTCAGGAGTAAGAAACATAATCTCTGACCATCGGAAAATGATGTGGCCAAAATCATCTCGGCATTGTTAAAGCCGATACAGAAGTCCTTGTTAACCTCGGCATTGACAATTGCTGGTTTCGCGATGACAAAAAATTCACTTTCGTAGATTTTGTTGATAATTTCTCGACTTGGCCAAAAGACGTTTGATTTTAATAATCGGTTTCTCCATTCATCTAAACACGTGAGTTTTCCTGTAATCGGAAATGCGGGAATAAAATCGCGACCAGATTTGTACTCATAACGTATAGCAAGATATTTTTGAGATTCAGAAGAAATTTGTCTATCCTTTCTGGTTTGACCGGTATCCTTTTCCTTAATCGGATTCGGTCTACCTTTATAAAGCGATGATATGGTTTCGCCAGACGCAGCTTTAATGAGAGCACCAAACGTTTGAAAGGTAAGAGAATTTGTTATGTCCTCAGGTCGCAGTTCCTCGATTAAAGATAAAGTATTGCTTAAAACCGAGATCATATCCACTGAGATATCGCTATTAGCAAGCAGCTTCCTAAATTGCCTTGTAATTGCTTCGATATCTGCTTCTACTTGAATATAATCAAGCTGTGCATCTCTGTATTCAAAACCTGCGTAGTGCATCTGGTTGTAACCAGGCTTCACCTGTTTGTTAACTTTTATGTGAATACTGTCATGAGACTTTGTTAAAGATGGCAAAGTTAAAACATCGTAAAGGCCTCTTAAAATCTTGAAGACCCTTTTATCAAAATCTTTCAACAGAGATGTGTTCAAATACTTTCCACCCACAACAGAATCGTTTGAAAATTCGTGATGTACTTTGTTGATATTGATATGAACAAAACATGAAACGTCTGCATGATATTCCAAGGCATCTGCAGGAATGGACACATCGGATATTAACAAATAATCATAGTCTCCCTCATCGCGTGTAAATCGAAGTCGAGTCCTCTCCCTTGTGCTACCCACCAACATACATCGCTCTTTCCCGAAATGAGACGCAAAGTTTGAAATGTATTTTGAGTAATTTTGCTGACGCCAATCGTTAGTTACTGGATAACTTTGTTCACGAAGGAGCTGTAATTTCGCTTTTTCTTGGTGAATGAGGAGTGCGGTCCTGTTAACAATCTGTAATATAAGTGTAGAATGACTTACATATGTTATTGCACTTTTTCACAAGCATGCATGTATACTTGTCTCCATGTAGGGAGATAATGCTGACATGATCCGAATTTAATATAACAAGTTTTTTTTTCTTCAAGACTTTTTTGTAGTTGTGATATTAAATATGTTATGTAAAAAAAAAAGTCGTCGAACCCTTGGGGTACAGAACGGGGGGGGGGGGGGTCCGTCACCAAGCACCTGTGGATCTGGATTTACAATTGTAGTTTCCTGGTTACATCACGAATTGAACAATCGGCATGCAAATTGAAAGTTATTGAAACCAAGACTTTTTTATTATCATGTTATTGTTATTTGGATAGAAACTTTTACCTGTATTATAACCACATACACAGTAGACAAACTAAATATACTTTTCACGAACACTGTCAATTCCATTTCGTGTACTTCTGGTCATTTCACCTTTTTTCCAAAGGCGGAGTTGTCCTTCCTTACTCTGTGAATGTGCACTTTCGCTTCAGTTTTATGGACTTTTTAAAAATAAACAGGCCTAAAAAGAAATATTTCTGAGAGCTATACTTTGTGCTATTTTATATAATTGTTAAAATGCTGTCAACTATATCAAGAAAAAAGTATTATCTCCAGTTCAGTTGTAAATCCGAGAACGAGTTATCTATAGTAAAGTGAAAGTAGAAAACGACCACAGAGAATATTATTAACAGACTAACAGACAGGAGACTTGAGGTTTATAAAGAAGCTGATGGCCCAAGTTCGTGAAACAATTGAATTACTTACATTCATCTTGAATGAAAATGGATGTTCTAAACTTAAGGCAGAAATATTTCGCCTGGCAAAGTTCGACAAAGATGAAGCGGTAATGATACAGTTGTCGTCTGACGTCTGTAATTGCTAGATTCTTGACGTCTGTAATTGCTAGATTCTTCGGACTTGTGTAGTCTTCCATTTTATTTGAAAAATGTTTTTATCTAAATTAAAGAGATTTATGAAATTGAATTATCACTTTGTAATCAAACCTTGTGATGTTTTTTTCTCCTTTCTTGTAGACATTGGCTCTGTGGAAGTTACTCTTTGAGATGCTTTATTATTGTAAATACGGTATAATTGACGAGGTCACTGTAAAGGCTTTCTCAGAACTAACAACAGGTAAGGAAACCTTACAAGTTCTGTTTCTGAACTATCAATAAATGACTGGGGAAAATGTGAATTAATTTGAGTAAATACACTTCCAGCTAAAAAAAAACTGAAAACATTTTTTTGTAGAAGAGCTGATTGTCTATGTTAAGCAAGAATTACAGAACCTAGGATTTCTCTCCAAAGAGTTTTCGCACCTTCCAAATGATGCTAGGTCTGGTAGCAGGGAATTATTACTGGCCTTTGCATGGCTGGTTTGTAAACAGAATCTCATTGACAAATTCATGGAAAACTGCTCTTCTCCACTGGAAGACTCTTCTTTGTTATCTGAGGTACTTACATAATTTAGTTACTTTATTGAGGTACTTTACGACAGTGGATATGAACTTTTCTGATATTCAGATTCTTGCATGATTAAGGCTATGCCTTGAGAAAAATTTCAAGTAAAAATGATACATGGGTAATGTTTCAATGTTCTAGTATCTGATTTTCAGAAAAAAATATTTAGTTCTCCTTGAAATAACTTTTAAAAAAAAAAAAATGTTATAACCCCCCCCCACCCCCCACCCCCCAAAAAAGAAGAAATTTTATCTAATTATTTTTACCTGGGTAAGAGTTGTTACCCTTGGAAAAGTAAAGCTTAAATACTTTCAACAGGGAAATATTAAATGTAATTGAATGAAATTGATACTTTCACAGGTGTTATCTTCACGGTGTGAAAACAAAATGTTAATTTTTTAGTGTGAAAATAACAAGTTCGCAGAAAAAACTTCTGTTTTCTTCCGTTCATGAAAATTGTTAAAGAAAATACACCTTACCAACATGATAGATAGAGTAATTAAATCATCTAAAAGAGCCAAAGCTTTTTAAAATTTTAACTCCTTGAATTACAAATTTATTTATATTGTCATGTGTTTAATTTGCTATATGACCCATGGCTTCTATGAACACGATAGTGAGCTTTGACCAGTGTTTTTTAATTTAATTTTTGTTCTTTTTATGTTCTGGTTAAAACTTATACTGATTTGTATTTATTAAATGATACCTGTACTATAGGCTGATTTTACATTTATTTATCAATTTAATTATTTTTTTAAAAGCTGCTTTTATTTTCTAAAGCTTCAGCAGAACAAAACAACAAAGGAACCTAGAACTCTAGTAGCAGCAGGTTCCCTGACACCAGTGCAGAAAGTTCAACAGTTACAACTCTTAAATGGAAAGTTAAGAAGTAGTTTAAGGAGACTATATGCATTACAGCGAGAGAAGGCAAAGCTACAACACAGGGTAAAATCATCTTTTTGTTATTCTTTCATAAGTGAGAACAAGATGATTCCACTTATTTGCCTTATATTCTATTACCAGGTATATTTATGAAATAATAAACAAAAAACGAATGGTCCATGTATATTTGCATCAATATGCCACAATTCAAAATAAATATATATATATTTTAAATCTCTGCTGACTTCACACAGTGAAATATGTATTTAGTGACCTATCAAGGAAAATCAATGGAGGTCACATGTATTTACAACAGGTGGTAAATTTATACAGTTTAGTATGGTCCACACCTTTTCTGAAACATAAATTGAAAGAAATGTGCTCTTAGTGTAGGTTTCTGCTAGAGGCAAATTATAGTTTGACATTGCATAATTTCTTTCAGAATTATATAAACATTTAGAAATGATTACATAAAATGAAAAAAAAATAGTGCATAAAACAGTGTTATGACATAATAGCTACAGCAGGTTGGCAATGCATATAAACAATGAAACTTACAGTGGTTTGGGGGAAGGGAGGGGGGATTTTAAATTTTAAGCGATCATGCTTGTCAGAAAGTGACCTACTTCACTAATATAAGGCAGGTTTGACAGTATTTCGATTTAGTGTAAGAACACAGGTATATATTAATATTAGATCTTCTTATAGGATTCTTAAAAGTTCAAATGCATGTGGGATAAGTTTATGCTAAAATTGTATTTATTTAGGTCCATGAGTGTACTCAAGGTTCCTCCCTTACACCAGATATGCCTCATCTTTCTTCACTAGAGGTCCACCTATTAAGGCACCCTCAGTTGATGAACAAGATCACCACACTACTGGAGAAAGACAATGTCAGACTGAGACACATGCAGGAGTGGAAAGATCATGAACAGATCTTCTGGAAGTGGATGGTTGGCATTAGATTATAATAACCTCTGAACTTTCTCTAATTAAATCTGACAGTCATGTTGGAGGTAATGCCATGATAATATACTTTTCAATGGTGAGTTGCTTTTAAATCAGAATAAGCCCATGTGCAACTCAAATCTGATTCACTATTGTACGTTACCTTCTAGATGTTCCAATTTCTTTTCATTGGACCTCCTCCTACATTGTAGACGAAGGCAAAACAAAAATTCTTTTTTTTTCGTATTATCAAACTACTGTAATTAAGTTTTGAATTTCAAAAATGTTATTCTTCTTTTCATTGATAGTAACAAAAAATGCATGTATATATTTATGATTGCCTATGGCATGTTAGCATGAAATAAGGTTTCAGAATTTTTATCTGCGCAATATAGATTCCAAGAGTTTTTAATAGGAGAGTGGTGTTTTTTCTATGATGCCTATATATTTTTATTAATATATTTTTGTACTTTCTAAACAAGTAAATTCTAAATAGGGATTTTAGAACTCAGAAATAGTTTGATCTGGTACTTATATAATTAGTGGAGGGAGCGTAATGCTAGGTGATAGTTGTACTCGATATACTTAGATTTTGTAGACAATCTGAAGTGGTCTAAGTTTCAATACTTTTTAGCTCGCCTGAGCCAAAGGCTCAAGTGAGCTTTTTTGATCAAAATTTGTCTGTTTTTGTTATCATTGTCATTGTTGTAATCTTTTTACAATTTCATCTTCTTCTCCAGAACCACTGGGCCAATTTCAATTGAACTAGGCACAGAGTATCCTTAGATAAAGGAGATTCAAGTTTGTTCAATTGAAGGGCCAAACCCTCTTCCAAGGGGAGATAATTAAGAAAAGTAAAAATTGGGTGGGGTTATTTGAAAACCTTCTCAAGAACCACTGGGCTAGAAAAGATGAAATTTATGAGAAAGCTTCTTGATATAGTGTGAATTCAAGTTTGTTCAAATCATGACCCCTTGGGCAAGGGTGGGGCCACTTTGGACGGTCAAAATTTTACATGGGTAAATACATGTATAGCAAACAATTTTCAAAATTTTCTTTTTAAGAATAGCAAAACCATTTAAAAATCTTTTTCCCAGGAACAGCAAAAACATGATCAATCATATTTATTAAGAAGCATCCTCAGGTAGTGTAGATTCAAGTTTGTTCAAATCCTGACCACGGGATAGGGTGGGGCTACAAAGGGTGACCAAGTTTTACATGGGAATATATAGGTAAAAGAATGTACATGTATTGATGAAAGACAATAAGGGCCATAGTTACCGGTACTCAGGTGAGTGTTGTGGCCCATGGACCTCTTGTTTTTATATCATTTTAGGAGAGTGTTTTAGAGCTGAAAGTGAAAGAAACCCCCAGGAATGAGAAAGCTCCTATGCTGTATTACAATATAGCTCCTGATCCAGTGTCAAGGATGAATGAAGCCAGAAGAAAGTTAGAGGAAGCCATTCTCAGATACGAAACAATCATCGAGCAGATTGAGGAGCTGTGGGAGACCAAAGTAAGTGATCATTTCTCACAAATTTTGTATTACTGTATGAAGAAAGTAGATTAAACATAACCATCATATAAATACCATATTGACAGATAATATAAATTATCCCAATGGCCATGCTGTGTTTGCTCAGTATTCGGTCACTGTTTGAGGTAAACAATCATATAGAAACGTTATGTACTGGGCAGTATTTTTGTATATTATGCTTTCATGTAAATTAGTTGAAATTGATTTATGGAGAAACATTTGTTTAAATATACTATTACCCGCTGAATAATGAACCCATGCCCTCCAGCATAGCAACAGGCGACATAGCTTGACGACGGGGAATATTCCAAAAAATATTGACTGCGCAGAATTTATGTGCGCAAGGTTCATTGTGATAAGTATTTGTATAAAACATTCAGTATAATTTGATAAATACTGCAGGTAGTTGAGTGTAACATTGAAAATTTTCACCCCTCGAAAACTATTGTCAATCTCGGTTGTGCCTCGGTTTACAACGGTTTTCTTGGGGTGTAAATTCAACTGCATGTAGTATTTATATAATATATGATATTCCTAGATTTTGAAATGCAGAGGTCATAGAAGTTCATACTTGACACAAAGTTTGCTTATCAATTATGACAATAAAATGTGGCTCAACTGCTTTGAATCCACTGGACTTTGAGCTTGAATACTGCTCATTATCCCCATATTTCATTACTTCAGACATATTTTAAAGTTACTTTTTAAAATTTGTAGTGTAAATTCTTTGAAAAGTACAAAGTTTTCATAAACATTTTTTTCAAATTTACCATGTTTTTTGCATATTTTATGTATATGAATGTTCTATTTTGGACCTTATCATGTTACAGGCATTCAGAATCTTCAGAACATGAGAATTTAGCCAAAAAAAAAACATTGATAGAGCCTGCCTTAATCTGGTAACATTCTGTACTTTGTAGAGAAGTGAAGTGACAGAGGAAGAATTGGACGGTCTGTTAGATATGCTAAACATGGAGATTTCGCTACAGAGATCCAACTTAGCTCTAGGCAGTTCGGACTTCTTCCTAATGAGAGACCCAACATTTGTTTTCAACAAAAAAGACAAGAAAAAGCCAAACATGGCCAAACCTATGGACAGGTTACCAGGAGCTCTTGGAGAGGGCCTAGGTGTTCCAGTAGAGATCTCCGACGAGATAGCAGCATTGGAATCACAGTTGAGATTGCTCGAGACACAGGTAGGGAGGACGACAAGGCAGTATACATCTGATCTGGAGAGACTTTCTGTTAGGGTACCAGGTGCATTGTTTGTTCAGCCTTCATCATGTGTTTAGAAGTTGGATATGCTACTTGTACAAGCATGTAATACTGCCATTTAAGGTGATATTAAACCTTAGGATGATATCAGTTCAGTGCTGAATCCAAATTCATTGAAAATCCCTGTATACTTGATTGTTTATAATATTTTTTGCTGACCAGAAAAACTTGAAGTGAGAATTTTCAGTATTAGTATGTCATTTCTATAGATAAATAACATAATGATTATCTTTGTCTTGTGATATAAAATTGTCAAATGTTAAAAACTGGTATCTTAGATATTATAGCTTCTCTTTGGGGGTGGGGAAGGGGTGGGGATCTGTAGTTACTTATGTGCAGAAATTATGCATCCGCCATAGTTTGGAAAATGCAATTATACTCAAAAGTATTTACAAGTAATATTACAAGTTATCTGCATGCACAGAAATATGAAAGCTATGATACAATTTTTGTTAGAATTTGTTTTGTGTCATGATTGATTTATAGGTTTAATATTTGATGTAAATATGTTTGATTCTATTCAGATTTCAGCTGGTATTTTTTTCCCTAAATATTCGATGTTGAGAGTTTTATTAAGGGCCTTACGCCAAGATGTGGGTGCCTTGTTGTAATCACCATGTCTGTATGTCTAGTTGTCTGTTGCCGGTTAACACTACAATCACTTGAGTTCCTTGTAATCTACAGACTTCTATTTATACATAGCTTTAAGATGCTTAGAGGAAGACATCTAAAGCTTATGGGGTCTCTTGATCAAAGGTCAAGGTCAAAATTCAAAATACTTACCATCACCAGTACACATTAAGTGCTGCAATAACTATTTTCCCATAGTACATAAAATCAACATATACATGAAGATTTGGGGTCACTTTTTGAAAGTCAAAGACTGAGATTCCTAATCTGACCATTGTAATGAAATAACTCAGACATTTTGTTTCTGGAGAAAATAAAACACAATACAATCTCTTGAAAAAGGTTGAAGTCAAAGTTCAGAGTCTGTGCAATAACCTGTCTAATGGATTTTTTTAAAACTACAATCTTCATTTACTACAAAGATTTAAGATTTGTTGGAAGAAGACATTTTTTGAATTAAGATCAAGGCCAAATGCTCAAGACTATTGATAATGAATATTATATATGTAATGAATGCAGTTCAGTATAAAACTTTGGTATATTTTAAACTGAATGTAACATTTTCACTTTCATTTTCCTATACAGGACAAAAAATTCACTTTGCAGGGCCCTGTATTACGTTGTCAGTGTTCTTGTTTTGTTCTTTATTTTGTCTTCCATGAATATGCAGAAAGATTTATCATTAAAGAATATTAATACTTCATTATTTGAATTGCTTTTTTGTTATCTTCTTAGAAATGGCAGCACCAATTTCAATGGATTTTAGTTCAAAGTGTTTATGGATGAGGGAAAACAAAAACTTTGTATTGTTGTCCCCACACCTCTGGGGCCTGAGGAATGGGGCTGCAATCTTCAAAATTTATGCAATCTTCAAAAATTTCTTCTAGATTTCCAAAAATCTTGGAGCTCTGTTGAGGCCATCCAATTGCATGATTACAGTATATTGAGTAGTTAGTTCTATGCTAAAGTTGTAAAATTCATGACCACATGAATACTGATGCTAATTTAGATATTTATTGTAAAAACTTTAATACTGAGATCAACTTCCTTATATAGTGGCGACTGTGAACGAAATCCAACGGCTTAGGACTATAGGTAAAAAGACATTGAGATATAGTACAAAAAAAAATCTTACCACTTTATTAACGTTGGTATTTTCTTTTCTATCTGACTGCGATATAAATCAAATTTTCTATTGCGTTGAAATAAAATATGGATTGTGTAAATGTCCATAATCAATACAAAACTGTGATCTTTCGTTTCGACTTCGACGTTAATTTTATTCTTTCAGCCTCAATGGCTGTTCCGAAGACTGCCTTAGAAGACATACAAATTGATAATCTAACAATACCCAAACGATCTACCATGGTAGAAGTCATTGTGTCTGCACATTACGATAATGAGTACTGGGAAAAACCTGAGGAATTCCGACCAGAAAGGTTCCTTGATGAAAACAACTCTATCATTCGTCACGAGGCCTTTTTCCCCTTCGGTTTGGGTATATAAATTAGATGGGCGAACAAGGCGTGCAGAATGCTATAGCTTCAGATATATAAAAATCATATTCAGTTTGTGAATTTAGTATTTAGAGTAAAGTTTTTATTATTGAAATTTATGAAATTATGACAGACAAAACTTTTCTTTTGAAAATTTTCTCGGCAAAAAATATTCTATCTTTAAAAAAATAATAAGGTATTCTTGTGGTTCGAACCCTAGCAATAAAAATCCTGCATATCAGTTTTTTTTTCTTTGAGCCTAACACAATAACCACTACGCTACACAGCTCATGACAAAAAGCTGCATTTAAATCATGTTTGTGATAAGACCCTTGAATAAATGGACTTAAGTATTTCTCGGAGTTGTACGAATGCTTTGTCATAAAAGTGTGTACTGTGGGTCTTTGCACTATGTTTTTGTTAACCAAAAATGTATATTTTTACGCATACTTTGAGGATAAACTTTCAAAAAATGGAGCGAAGACCCGCTCATATGGAAAAGTGTTATAATAGGAGAAAATGATCCTTTTTGCCCTTTTTTAGTGTGTGTATATGCTATTTCATAGACAAATAAACTCAATCTTTGTGAGATTTTTGCAAATTATGGAGATTTTACATAAAGAACACTTTCAATTATCAAACAAAATTTATCATAATTGAGATCAAATTTTCACCATCATACCAGTATTTGTCGCACCATAGGCATTTCGCTCGCCTTGTCCGTCCATCTTCTTTGTTTAGACACGCTTATTTCATTACATAGTAATGTGCATGTGCAATTTCAACTTTAATTAGTATGTTTTAAGTAGGGGTTTATTTATTCAATTTCTTAAGAAAATGCCTTTTCTTGTAATTTATGACATGAACGTAGTTTTCCAAATAACAACCAATGCACCATGCAAAAAAGGAAAATGTTACTTATTTCAAAAGTTAATGTTTAGGGAAACGGATGTGTCTTGGAAAACAGCTAGCGGAGACAGAGCTGTTTATTTTTCACCATGCTTATTCAAAGATTTCGATTTGAGGAAGCACAGCCTGGAATTCCTCTCAACATGGATGGAATCGACTGCAGGAGATGTCGGAATATCCTGTCTATTTTGATAACATTTTTAATAAACAATATTTCACAGTATTCTTCATATTCTACGTATTCATAATAACTATTGAAAATCAATTTTCGGACCCATGAACCAAACTGTTTGCCTGAGGCCTTATATATATATATATATATATATATATATATATATATATATATATATATATATATATATATATATATATATATATATATATATATATATATATATATATATATTTATCCCATGTTTACCCCTTTATCCAGTGGATATGACTCATTGGATATTTTTTTCATAACCCACAGTTGTGACGTCACAATGGTTTAACTTTTGCGTTAGAGTGATGAAGTAAAATAAAGTGGAGTCCTATATAAAACAGTGTAAAACATTGGTTGTGAAGTATTAAAAATGGGATAAAAAGAATCTCATGGGAGATCCTATATATATGCAATACTCCGAACCACTAATCATCTTCCAAAAGATGATTAGGCTACTGCATCAGATGTAACAGGAATTCTGGGAACCAGGTTTTTGTAGAAAAAAAATTGTCATTCTTTGGCCCCCATTTGGTCCCTGGGGTAATATTTAAAATTCCAAAACTTTATTGCACATCTACAGGACACCACCTATCACCTTCGAAAATATTAATTGGTTACTGCTCAAAATAAAAGGGGAGTTTGAGGAAGAAGAAAGTGTGACTGACGGACGGACGGACAGACCAGGGTAACAACAATATACATGAACTTTCTTTAGAAAGTGCGGGTATAATTAAAAAGTAAAATTATGTATGGTCAAGCGGAAAAGTTTTCAACCAATTTTTTTTTTTTTTTGAGTTACATGATCATTTGTCGTTTCAGGGACAAGGGGTGCCAGAGAGACCGCGGGGGGGGGGGGGGGTTATGACCCCTTATTCCATTTAATCTGTCATAATACAAACACGGCTTAAGTTTGGAGTTTCCCATTTTATTTAAAGCTATATGATTTTTTCCATTTCCAGGGAATGGGACAAACCCCCCAGGGACCTGCTTCAATGTATAACTTGCATGTGGAATTCGATGATCTTTGACCCTTTTTAAACTATAACCTAACCATTTGCATTTCAGATTATTTTACCCAATTCTATACCTAAACTTGTACTTATCATCGCCTGACATAGGTTCTGTCAACTTCATTAAATATAATCCAATTAAAACACACAATTAATTAATTCCTACTGATATAATGATGATTACACATGTGCAATCAAATAATGATAATGGTAAAACTAGTACTCCTAGGGTGACGCAAGTCCAATATGTGGCGCGGGTCAAGAAATTTTCAAGGTGTACACATGGTACATGTACAAATTTTATGTAATAATTACAAACAATGATTTTCATAACTTTGTGCTATCTATTTCCAAAACACAGGCAAATTGTGGGGAGGGTGTGGTTTTGACAAAATTGATCGGGTGTGGGTTTTGGAGAGGGTTTTTGCCTACCCAAATACTGATAAAAGTTTGCACAATTTGATCGTCTGAAAGTTGGCATCTAAATTTTCATCAAAAACGTCTGCACTAAAATAATATTTGTTGTTTTGAAAACGGATTTAAAAACTTCCAATTATGGGCCAAATTTAATTTACATCACCCTCTTTTTTTTAAAAAAAAAAAAAAAACAAAACAAAACATAATTTAATTCTGTAATTTCAGATTGGTAATGAATTTAGCATATGAAATGCTTACATAAGAGGCCCATGGACCACACGTTCACCTGCATGAGTATTTTATGCTCGATTTGACAAATAGAAGTACTGTGTAAATTATAGAATTATTGTGGCTTTTTCCTTGGTTACCCAAATATGAAGGAGTGTGCATTTAGAGGTAAACAATGGGGCCACAATGGGGGAGCAAAATTTACATAGTAATATATATATATATATATATATATATATATATATATATATATATATATATATATATATGAAAGCATTCTCAGGTAGGGCAGATTAAAGTTCGTTCAAATCACCCAGGGGTAGGTTTGGGCCACCAATTGGCTGTAAGTATACCATAGGAAAACCTTATAATCTTCCCAAACAGCAAAGCCATTTTCAGTCATAGTGACATGGAAGTATCTTCAGAGTGTAGATTCAAGTTTGTTCAAATCATGACCCCAGAGGTATGGAGGGGCTACATCTTTAAAAATCGTCTTCTCAACAACAGCAAATCCATGATTAGTCATATGAATATGGAAGCATCCTCTGATAGTGTATATTCAAATTTGTTCAAATCATGACACTTGTCGGTAGGGTGGGGTCACAACAGGGATCAAAGTTTTACATAGGAATTTATGATAGAAAAAGTATGCTGATGAACAGCACGGCCATATAGACTCAGGTGAGCGTTGTGGTCTATGGGCCTCTTGTTCTAATCTTATAGCATAATATTAATATTATTAGAATATGCAATCTTTGCAATTTTACGTAATGGCTCACAATTTTCGTAGTCGGCCTAACATTTATTGCTCAATTATGCTAGTGTACATGCATATGGATTTTATGTCTCCCAGATGATTCGATACGCAAGAGAACAACTTCTGAAACGAGGAAAGTTATTGACAAATAAGTTGATGAAACAAGAATATTAATAGTCTCGTTTAAAGTCAAGTTCTATAGTCGAGAAAATGACCTTGTCAGCAAATACAATCTATCATTAAACGAATGCTGACTGTAGTATTTCATACGAATTGTTACGCCATTATTAACACACTTCATTGTCTATGGATTTTTCCGTTTGCTCGATCATGAAAAGGAGCACAGGGCAAATGTGACTGCTTATTCCTCCATGGCACCTGATCACACCTCTGATGTTTTTTTAGAGGCCCGTGTTTGCTGTGCTCCAAATTTGTATTGTTACAAAAGACACTGAAGCTTGATTATTGTTTGTTATCTTCATATTTCATTGTACGTTTGATATGTTTGGACTAGGGCTGTATCAATATATCGATACGTATCGATATTTAAGAATGTATCGTATCGAAAAAATAACTTCCAATACGTATCGGACAGGCAGATTTTCTCATAATTCTGTGAAAAAGTTGGGAATTTTAATCACAAAAGGTTATATTTATACTGTTCTGAATTAAAATTGATAATAATGAGATAATGATTAAGGAGATAGCACATCTTAAATAAATATTACAAAATACATAGACAACTTTATTTTAACATGTTGTTTCACAGTCATTAAAAGTTTGAATTTAAAGTGTTATTTGTAGAGACAGTGAGACAAGACCTTCAAAATGAGTTATAAAACAATCAGTTTTTTTAAAAATTCACGCATTTAATGATTTATAAGACTTTTTTGATAGACATATTAAAGTATCCAATATATCGGATATCGCATTATAAAATATTGTATCGTATCGTATCGAATTTTTTTTGCTCAATACACAGCCCTAGTTTGGACAGAGACTCCGTTAATCTGCTTGTGTACATGTACGTCAGATTGTGCTTGTGTACATGTACGTCAGATTGTGCTTGTGTACATGTACGTCAGATTGTGCTTGTGTACATGTACGTCAGATTGTGCTTGTGTACATGTACGTCAGGTTGTGCTTGTGTACATGTACGTCAGATTGTGTTTGTGTACATGTACGTCAGGTTGTGTTTGTGTACATGTACGTCAGGTTGTGTTTGTGTACATGTTTGTCAGGTTGTGTTTGTGTACATGTATGTCAGGTTGTGCTTGTGTACATGTACGTCAGAATGTGCTTGTGTACATGTACGTCAGTTTGAACAAAGACACAGAGAAGCTCGTTTCGTCAACAAATCTCTCTTCATCTCCAAGTAGCATGCTCTTCTGCTATGAAAAAATGGTCTCGAGAATCGATGACCTAAATAGATTTAGCTAACTTCAGATGTTTGATATATCAAAAGCCCTATGAGTGAAATCTCGGTATTTTAGCTTTACATGTCAAATGCTGCCAATTATATTGAAAGTAAAATAATCACAATGTACAAGACTTCAATTAAATTCCTCTCTACGAAATAACATCTGCAATCTGACACGAAACTTCTCCCTAAACGAATCATCTTGAGAGAAATGCATCAACACATGTCTTCCAGGCTCATGGAGAATGATTTCAATAACCTGAGAATATCATCATGGTATTGCCTATACAGAAATATATGGAACAATCACTGATATAACTTTTCCAAAATTGTTCATATTATTGTTCTTACTACATGTATTATATTAATCAACAAAAGTTTGACAATTTATTTCCCTCATATATTTTGTACAAAATAAATAACATGTGTATAATAAACAATACAGACATTTTCTCTTTACTTGTAGTTTTGGTCAAAATACAATCCTTTTTTATTTCCATGAATCTTTCAGCTCCAACACAAAGACGTGTCTTTAACACAAAAAAAATTGGAAAACTGCATTTAGGTAAACAACATTTAGTAATTGCCATATATATATATATATATATATATATATATATATATATATATATATATATATATATATATATATATATATATATATATATATATATATATATATTAATTTGGCAAGTTAATTTGACTATATATATATTACAATAAGTGTTATTTAATATTAAAATATAAATTAAAACAGTATCTAAAATACTGGTGTTTTGAAATTTAAAATTTCTTTGCATTTGATTTGGCTTTTTAAAATTTTAGTTGGAAGGCACAAAGATAACCAACTCTGTTAGGTTTTTCTGGTTTTTGCCAATCTTACCATGCTTTTTACAGCACACATATCTAGCGTTTGTTCATGATACATGTTTGTTCCTTTCTAAATAATTGAAATCTGCGTTTCACAACAATATAGTGTTGGACAACAAATCACATACAATAAAGGTGAACACCAAGCACTGGGCTTAATGGGATGTCCTCAACTAGTAATCTTTCCGTCTTTCTTCAGTTGTTCTTCAAGCTTTGTGAAGAACTCAGTCATGGAGCCTGGGATGGCAGCTTCTACAACGTTCTTAGGAAGCATACCTTTGATATCTGGCTGAATTAAGCTGACCAGCTTACACTTATTAGGGTCTCTGTAAATAGGCAGAAAATAAAACAGGTCTGGAAAAGAGACTACAATGTTATATACATATATACTAGTATTCTGAATGTTCTAGATTTTATTTATATCTAAGTAATAGCAGATCTTTAGTACGATTCTCGGGCAATATGCTCTATGAAGTGCTAAATTCGTCATCTGAACAAATTTTTGAAAAAGTGACATATAAATATACAATTTTTTTTTCAAAAATAGACATTTCAGCGGCGAACTTTTACTGTTCAAACAGAGCCACAGATTGTGTGATTAGATCATTACCTGTGACTTTTTCGACAGTAAAAATTACTCTCACATTTTTATTAATTTCGTTTAGAAAGTATACTTTTGCAGGAATAAATTAAGCAGGAAATCGCTGCATGTACAGAGCTTATAGAATATTGTTTGTTTGTTTGTTTATATAGAATATATGTAGTGTGGAATCCATACAAAGTTAATAACATTGTTAGAAGTACATGTACACGTATTTCATGTATAAAATATATTAGTGGCCGCGATTACGTAAAATATTTAAATATATTCTGCACTAGACTTTTCTGTTTTAGTTGACCTTCTCTGGGGATTTTTTGAAAAGATAGAATCCCATACTTAATATTTTCTCCCAAATTTCAAGTGCTACTACCTTCGTAAAGTTCAAAATATCAATTTTTCCATGCTATGCTATTGGGAAAAAAAATCCATGCTATCTCATATTCTTATTTTTGTTTTCAATTCCAAGATAGGATTTCTATTTACACTTCAGAAATTTCCACAAGCTGTAAAAATGGTTATCGTGTACATATTTCTATAAGCTGATAGAAAATGCAACATCTATTTACACAGGTATTTTTTCTCCTATATGTTTTACTCAACACCCATTTCTGCTAAATTTTAAAAATATTTACACTGGCAGAAGGGCCAATAGAAGTTTTCCCCCAACCCTGTCGCTACTGTTCCATTTACAAGTAAATCGGTATTGAATCAGTATTGGAACAAAACAAGACTCTTTGAAACTCAGCAGAAAAAAATGAAGCCTTCATCAAACATACATTTCTATCAGAAAAGTGATAATGAACAGACTAGCTATAAATTAACGTCACGCTGTTCAACGAAACGAAATTCAACGAAAGCAGTAGAAACTAGAATAAAACCGTACTCAGTGCAAAAAGATCGATATTAAGCAAGAGTCTGCAAACTGCCAACGACATCTAAAACATTCAGGTTTTTAGCACTTGGAGCAAGACACCCCCCCCCCCCCCCATCATTGGTCGTGAAAAAAAGTGATGTTATTCTTGCAGAAACAGACGGGGATAAGTTTCTGTTATTTTTTGTTTTCTTTATATTCGAATCATAGAAAATAAGCTTTCAAGCATTAGTAGAGAAAATACAGGTGGAAATAATAATTCAATCTCCAAAAATGATTTTTCTTTTCATCTTCATTTCTAAGTTTAAAATCTGGCAAGGTGTACATCATTTCTAAGTTAATTTTGCAAGGTGTACAATTTAAAGATAGTTTCCCTTCACATTTAACAGTTTTGGTTTTGGCGTTATAGGTAGAAATGGGTTTAATGTGATAGGGAAAAAAGAAGGAAAAATGTAATTTTTTCGTGACTTTACTGGCACGCAATTTTTAAACATTAAATATAAATATCATGCGCTTTTCTTATATTAAATTGTCGTATTCAGAATATTTCTATAATTACATGTATAATATAATGAATGAAAAATTAGATCATTCTTCAAATCGCATTTTTTTAAAAATCATTTCTGATAAAATCTACAAGTTTGTAGAGATTTTATAACATTTAAGGTTTAAACTTCAAAGCCAAACCCATGTAGAAAGATGGTAATTTGTGACGTTTTCCCTAATCCTACTTACAATCGGTATTTTATAACTAGTATTCCACAGGGGTAATTCCAGCCTCTTACATACTTCTTTTCCTCAGGAAACTCCTCTAGCTCCACACTACACGCTACAAAACAAGCTCAAAGTAACAAGCACTGACCATTTATGTGCAAGCAACCCATTCATACATTTTTGCCACTTGAAAATACACACTTCATACTGCTCCGATATTCTCATTATCAGTTTGTGTTAATAGCCATAGAAAGTGTTAAAACTATTAGGAAGTTTTTTTTGTATTTTGAGGATAATGGCATTCTCAAGTAGCAAAATTGAATCATCAGCAGGAACCAAAGCAGCCAATATACCTGTAAAGGGATTAGCAAATTATGTCTGAAGCAATGACAATATAAACATCATTCTGCAAACTCCCTCATTAATAAATGTTTATGTAAAGAGAACTTGTAGGACCTTATCTTAATCTTCCTCTGTTATGTTCTGTATATTTCTGAACTTGAAATATGAGTTTAGATGATTAATTATACCTTGATAGATTGCATCTTCAACCCACACATCTTTTTATTATTACTATTACCATGAAAACATAAACATACTATTATGGAAGTGCACCTTTTCTATAAAACTGTCATTACATTAACAAATAAAAAGAAGTATGTGTTATAAAAAAGATAGTTTGAGGTGTTAGTCTAAATCAAGCCATTCCTTTAGGCGCATGGCATGCTGGGTACAGTCATGTGACTTACTCTGGGTATTTGACACAGATCATGCCACATGACCAGTTCCAACCCCGCACATGATCCTTGACCTCTGGGCATTCAGGGTAATCAATACTGATAGCTGAAATCAAACCAATCTATTATCTATGAAATAAGATGAAAATGTTTATCACTGCTTTTAAATAGTAACATAATCAGTGGTTACACACTTTGATCATATGCATCATGTAAAAAAAAGAGGGGAGAGAGAGAATGGGGAGAGAAAAGGAGAGAAAGACATGGAGAAAAAACCCAGTATTGGATGGTTGTTTACTGTAAATATTGTAACAGGAGAAATGATTGTTTTATTTTGAGAGCTGACTGCAGTAACAGACTACTTCAGGCAATTCAAGACCGTTTTTTTTTAATGAGTAATATGATTATCTTAGAATGACTGAGTTACAAGTACAAAGTTCCCTGTGATAAACAGTTATACCATTCCTAGATGACTATCAACTGTTTGTTTCCAGAAGTGATATCCACTGACTTAATGCCTTCTATATTTGGAAATTTTATCAAGGGAGATTGTGACATTTGTATCCATATTTAATTCCTCTGAAGTTGAAAAGATCATTTATCATGCAATTTATTGATATGATTGTTTTAAGATTTTTCTGCAGACAAGTGGTTGTTATGACGTTCTTAACAGCAGGTGGAATTCAACCCATGAAGATGTCCTAGCCTAACTGTTTTGATGAAGGTCTTGGAATTTTATTTTAAAGAACTATACACTATTTTTTTGAGTTTCCCATCTGAATATTTATAAACTTAAAGGTTACAACAAATAGAAAATGACATGTAAGAAATATCTTTTATAAACAATTTTATTTATACTTATATTAAAAGTTCTGGCTCATTGAAACACCCTTTTTAAGAGTAGGATAAGTGGACTGAATAAATAAAATTTGATACATGTTGATTATTGTTAATTAAGGTTATGTGTTTTTCTAAGAGCTTTTCACTTCAAGAAGATATACGTCTGTAATAAATCCCAGTGATAAATCTCAACATTATGTAGGAGCGAACTTCTCATTCATGTTAATCTTTTAAAATAGAAATATGAAGGAGAAAAAAAAGCCTTAGCAAATTAAGGTTCCCCCAATGTGTCCTCATAAATATATATATAAATATATATTTAAGTATAAGTTGTAGAAAAACGTGATTGTTATCAAATTACAAGAGGCCCATGGGCCACAACGCTCACCTGAGTAACTTTGGCCTTGCTGTTTTTCACCCGATTTCCCCCTTGTAATACCTATTGTGGCCCCGCCCTACCCCAGGGGTCATGATTTGAACAATTTAGAATCTACACTACCCCAGGATGCTTCCACATAAGTTTCAGCTTTTCTGGCCCAGTGGTTCTTGAGAAGAAGATTTTTCAAGATATTTTCTACATATTTCAATGTAAAACTTGGATTCCCTATTGTGGCCCCGCCCTACCCCCGGGGGTCATGGTTTTTACAATTTAGAATCTACACTACCCCAGGATGCTTCCACATAAGTTTCAGCTTTTCTGGCCCAGTGGTTCTTGAGAACAAGATTTTTAAAGATTTTTTCTACATATTTCAATGTAAAACTTGGATTCCCTATTGTGGCCCCGCCCTACCCCAGGGGTCATGATTTGAACAATTTAGAATCTACACTACCCAAGGATGCTTCCACATAAGTTTCAGCTTTTCTGGCCCAGTGGTTCTTGAGAAGAAGATTTTTCAAGATATTTTCTACATATTTCAATGTAAAACTTGGATTCCCTATTGTGGCCCCACCCTACCCCTGGGGGTCATGGTTTTTACAATTTAGAATCTACACTACCCCAGGATGCTTCCACATAAGTTTTAGCTTTTCTGGCCCAGTGGTTCTTGAGAAGAAAATGTTTAAAGATATTTTCTACATATTTCAATGTAAAACTTGGATTCCCTGTTGTGGCCCCGCCCTACCCCCGGGGGTCATGATTTGAAGAACTTAGAATCTACACTACCCCAGGATGCTTCAACATAAGTTTCAGCTTTTCTGGCCCAGTGGTTCTTGAGAAGATTTTTCAAGATTTTTTTCTACATTTTTCAATGTAAAACTTGGATTCCCTATTGTGGCCCCGCCCTACCCCCGGGGGTCATGATTTTTACAATTTAGAATCTACACTACCCCAGGATGCTTTCACATAAGTTTCAGCTTTTCTGGCCCAGTGGTTCTTGAGAACAAGATTTTTAAAGATTTTTTCTACATATTTCAATGTAAAACTTGGATTCCCTATTGTGGCCCCGCCCTACCCCCGGGGGTCATGATTTTAACAATTTAGAATCTACACTACCCCAGGATGCTTCAACATAAGTTTCAGCTTTTCTGGCCCAGTGGTTCTTGAGAAGAAGATTTTTAAAGATTTTTTCTACATATTTCAATGTAAAACTTGGATTCCCTATTGTGGCCCTGCCCTACCCCCGGGGGTCATGATTTGAACAATTTAGAATCTACACTACCTCAGGATGCTTCAACATAAGTTTCAGCTTTTCTGGCCCAGTGGTTCTTGAGAAGAAAATTTTTAAAGATATTTTCTACATATTTCAATGTAAAACTTGGATTCCCTATTGTGGCCCCGCCCTACCCCCGGGGGTCATGATTTTTACAATTTAGAATCTACACTACCCCAGGATGCTTCCACATAAGTTTCAGCTTTTCTGGCCCAGTGGTTCTTGAGAAGAAGATTTTTCAAGATTTTTTCTACATTTTTCAATGTAAAACTTGGATTCCCTATTGTGGCCCCGCCCTACTCCCGGGGGTCATGATTTTAACAATTTAGAATCTACACTACCCCAGGATGCCTTCACATAAGTTTCAGCTTTTCTGGCCCAGTGGTTCTTAAGAAGAAGATTTTTTAATGACCCCACTCTATTTTTGTCTTTTCTTGATTATCTCCCCTTGGAAGGGGGCTTGGCCCTTTATTTTAACAATTTAAACTCCCCTTCACCCAAGGATGCTTTGTACCAAGTTTGGTTAAAATTGGCCCAGTGGTTCTTGAGAAGAAGTTGAAAATGTGAAAAGTTTACAGACGGACGGACGGACGGACGGACGACGGACAACGGGTGATCAGAAAAGCTCACTTGAGCTTTCAGCTCAGGTGAGCTAAAAATTGAATTATCTTTATGTACTTGAAGATAAAAATTCAAATCTTCTATTCTAGCTGACATTACCGTTTGTTGAAAGACATTCCTCTGTGTCTCGAACAAGAATGAGATCCACAAAGTCTCGAGGTGAGATCAGACCAAGCATAGCACTAGCTGTACAAGCTCGATTTATTCTTAAATCAGGCTGAAAACAGAAACGAAAACATCACTAAACATCACTACACACTTAAGTAGTTTTGCTCAATCAAGACAAAATACCTGGTGTGTGTACCTTTTTACTTTTCTTAATTATCCATTTCTTTCAAATCATTGATACATATAAATATATATGATTCTATAATCTAACATATTGTTTATTCAGTGATACACCAAAATATCTTGACAAGCAAAACAATGTTGTGATTAATAAAATCCTATTTTGGGGAGTGGTGATTTGAAATCCCCAATACGACTCCCCATTTGTACATACCTGTACTGTGTGGATTTGGATAGAAAAGCAATGTCTTTTCATATATAAAAACAAATCAATAATCAAGGACATAAAACATTTTTTATTAAATGTTTGGTATTGGAGTGCATTCCAGTCCCCCCCCCCCCCCCCCCCACTCCTTCACAGTCTCACAACTGATTAAACTACAGTTAATCCTTGTTATCTCAAAGTTGTTTGGCTCCAGAAAAAACTTTGGGATATCAAATGAATTGAGATATTGAGGGTAAAATACAGTAAGAAAAAGCAGTTCAGATTCTAACTCATTTTGACATATTGATATCAATTGTTCCAGATAACACATATTTCAACTGTGACTTATACCTTACTGTATTACTTTATACGATTACTATGAAACCAGCTGCTTTCCAACAATAATGACTACATAGAAAATATATTCATGACTTAAATTTACTGCATGATAGTGAGTAAGATATGATTTCCCGCAGGAGGGGAATATAATTTTTCTTGGGTGAATATATCTTCATATCTCCTGAACGTTCATGCAATGAATTGTAACAAGTTTATTAAACCCAATCAAGCCAAACCTTTAAAAATAAACACAAACTTTTAAATTGTGCCGCACTTTTAAATTCACATTCAATTTTTGAAAAAAGTCACTTTACTAAAGTCCCTTACAGACACTATCACAGACAATGTTCTTTGATTTCTTTCTTTTTTTATAAGCATCCTTATTAGAAAGAAGATCACTACTATGTAGATAAAACATTTTTACTATTGTAAATTGTGACATCTGCTAGCTGCTATTTGGAGTTTTTCTTCAAAGAATGATAAGTATTGTGGGAAAATGCCAGAGTTCTCCATAAAGGTTAAATATAACGAAAAGCATGACAACGACAGGGAAATATGAAGTTTTATGGCCCTGTCACATGACTGTCTAGAACCAATCAGATAATGTGTTACTGTAGATCACTAAATTTTCGCGACACCTTATTTTCGCGAGATAGTCATTGACTTTTTATTAGCGAGACATAATTTTCATGAATTATTGTTATTCCTCTATATAATCTTAAGGAATACTATTATACGCGAGAATGAAATTTTCGTGAGCTCACTGTCTCGCAAAATTACGCAAAAATAAAGTTCTCACGAATAAAAAGTGATTTACAGTATATATAAATGTAGGAGATTAATTATAAATGAGGTATAATAATTCTAATTATTTCATCTTTTCAGATCCCAAAGGGATTGTTTTGTTAGGTACATGTATATTCTGTACAACAGAAAAACTGTCTTGTCATGGTCCAGTAATAAAGAGTCGTTATAAAAGTTTCAGCATGTTTAAGTATACACTAATTAAACAGACCTAAATTAGCTCTTCACTTTATACATATGCATGCTATGTACTATACATCCTATACTCTCTTGTGATAAATATTAATTAAAGTTTCAGAGAAAAAAAATAGGTCAACTTGTCCCAGAAAGAAAGAAGTATGCTTCCCTGTACTTTATTCTAACCCACGTCTGCAATCTCTCATGAAAGTTAAATTTAGATCATTTTATTTTTACATCCTTTAGTCAGGAAACCTAATTTGCTGTCTAAAGGTGATTCCCTTCAGAAATCAATTGAACTTAACTCTATCTGTTATAAATAGTAGACTTGTAAAATTATTGTTTCTTGATCCATTTCCTACAAAATGCATCATAATTCCAATCATATCTAACAGCTTATTTTAAAAGGACATAATGTAGAAATTATCACCCATAAGATGTACAGGAAAACTGCAGAGAAATCAATGATTTCCGCCTACTTAATGGAACTGGTCTTTAATGAAATGTATTTCCAGAGTCAGAGAATAAAACAACCATCACATCAGTAAAATTGGTGATAAAATTCTACAGTTTTATCAACATTTCTGACATTCATGCAGTCTACAGTTCCTCGGCTGGTATAAATCTAATGTAAAGTGACTGTAAAGGCCATTATTATAAGTTTTATGAACAGATCAGACAAATTTCCAGTTACTGTCTTCTGAAATTATTGGTCCAGAATTGATCATTTCCTATTTGCACAGAGACATGAAAATAATGGCTGACAAAATTTCAATTGCAATAAAATAAAAATATACCCCCCAGGATCTTGTTTAATGTGGTTTGCTTTATGAATAAACTGATATTAGTACTGGTATATATGAAAAATGCTTCCCAAATCAAAAGAAAACTTAATGAATCTCCCTTACTTTTTCTATCCACTTCAGGATTTCAATTTTCTTCATATTGGTGTCCCATTTAGCTCTAGGACCATCAGGCAGGGGTTCTACATAATCAAACACAGTTTTGGGGGGACAGTTATAGATGGCTTCACCTTTATATCTGCAATACAAAGGAAAATTGAATAAAAAAGTGCTTACTTTACACCAAAATTTTACACTGTCAATTACATTTGTTAAATAATTCTTCAAAAAAGTTCAAATTTTTTTTTTACCAGTATACCTTGTTTACTCATGACTTTGGCTTTGTTTTTTGTTTTTGTTTGTTTGTTTGTTTGTTTTTTTAATTCTGTACATCAGCTCAGACTGGTCTTTCACAAACATCAAATGCCATATTTGTCAAGCAAAGTCATTCAGCTCCAGGATGTGCAAAATGCATAGGATTTATTTTGTTTTATTTCTGAGCAAGTCTTTATTAATTGTGTAGTTTATAAGGCATTGATGTACTATAACCATGAACATCCTGGACCTTTTGTGCCATAGATTAAGTTTATGTCAGGATATAAAACTGCATCTTACTGTAACATCATACTCCAATTAGCTTATATTAAATGGCAATGAATGCCCCAAGATATTCTTGCAGTATTTACATGTATTGACTTGACTATTGAAGCTGGAGTGTGGTTACATACACCATAGAATGCTTTGATCCTTTCAAATGGAATAACACTATATACTTGAAATGATATCAAAATGCTCAAATTTTTCTTTGAAGATTTTTTAAAATAATCATGCAAAATATACAAGTGTTTAAAGAGAAAACTTATTTGAACTTTAATCAAACTGCACCAATATCTAAGTTGATATTGATCAAGAAACGTCTGTCTGGAAACACCAGGAGAAAGGTTGCTGATACTTCAGCACATGTTGCTAATTTCTGCATCACAGGATCTTCCTTTAACCTGTGTATCTAATCAGAGTCAAAAAGGCAATTTTAATTGAAGACATTTTCTTAATAAAATTGAAAATTGAAGTTGGAAAAGCCTGAATTCAGAGTGCTAAGAGGGAAAACATTAAGGAATCTGCTGAATGTACTGGAAGGGATGCTCTGAGTTTACCGATAGAGTTTACCTATGGCTCTATTTTTTTTCTTTTATATTACAATTTGAAATATTTAAAGGACCAAAAAAGTAGAGGCATGAAAAGAAAACTGCTAATCTATTACTTGAATAAACAAATAATTTGCTTTATCCCATGTTTACCCCTTTATCCTGTGGATATCACTCATTGGATACTTTTTTCATATCCCACTGCTCTGACGTCACAATGGGTTTTGTGTAAAAATGATGAAGTAAAATAAAGTGGATTCCTATATAAAAACAGTGTAAAATATTGATAGTGACGTATAAAACATTGGATAAAAAGAATCTCCCATGATTTGTAGCTGGATATGATTTTTATCCAACTTGTGTGTTTTTATCCCCTTGCCAAGGCTCTGGGATAAAAAAAAAACACAATCCGTTGCATAAAAATCATATTCAACCACAAATCATGGGAGATCCTATATATATCTGATTAAAAGCAGATTTTATTGAGCTTTGACACCTACAAGTTATATTCACATAATTCAGAATGGTCTCTCTAGTCTGTGAAAAGTAAGTAGAAACTATGGAGTTTTAATTGCTTTATAACCGTTTTAAACTTCCTTCAAAACTATAGACAGCTATAATCTGTTCATCATCTGATTTCCTCCCGAGATTTGGTCCACTTCCTTAGACTTCCAGTACGTGTCCTCAAGTTAAAGTACAGAAATATGACTGTTAAAGCAGTATAAATCATGAAGTTGTATCACTTTTAAAATATATAAAATAAGTGGATTTTAAATTCCTGACATTGTCTTTGCACACTGTACTCAATGAACTGCTGCACTGGAAATTGAAATACCATATAAATCACTAGGTTAGCACTTGATAAAAGAGATTCCAATTGTTTTTATTTTAAGAGTGTATTGCATAACACAAAATCCCTAGTCATGAACTCCAGATCATATATGAAATCAGCTATAATAGAGATATTGACTGTATGCATTCCGAGTACATAAATGATAAGTCACTCAGTACAGACAAATGCACTGGATGACCTCAGACATCGGTCATTCATTTCAGCACTTGACTGACAGTACCAACACCTCAAGTGGCCAGAGACATTAATGTTTGCCCTTTAGGACTATTTACAGCTTGACCTTAGCCCAGCAGCAAGTTAAGGACACTTGTTTGATTATTGTGAGGTAGATCTCTTAGTCCACCACAACAAAGGTCAACAGATATGATCATCTAATTGTGTCTGACAGGTTTTTTTTTATGTGACAATTGGAGGGAAACCTGATGCAGGCAATGGTCTGATTGTATAAAACACAGTCCTCTACAAGGATCATGGACTTTAAGTTCAAATAAAAGTAATCTTACAGATCATGAGAGAAATTAATGAACATATTTAATTAGAATCAACGCTATACGAATAATTCAGTAAAGCCTGTAAGTCATCTGAAATATTTATTTAGGAAAATAGTTTGTCTGTGTCAAGGCTCAAACCTTTCACATACCAGCCCTTTACCTTGAAAACTGCTTGCCTAAGAGAGCATTTAATCCATGTTCTCAAGTTTAATAGAGTGCAAGCTCATTACACAAGACTTGTCATACCTTATATGAATAGTTAAGGTTTCAGACCACACAGTCATGGGAGTGAGTGTGTGTATAAGGAATGCTAAGCCCCTGATGTCTACGATACAGCTGCAAATGTAGAGATTAGTCAAACACACTAAATATTTGTAAAATGAAAGATATTACTTTTATAGGTAATGTTGAAGATATGATGGAAGAGATTTTAATATATTTGTACATTTTCTTAACATTTTTTTTATTGGAAAAAATGGGGGGAGGGGGGGGGGGGGCTGCACGGCTAGATACTTTGAAAAATATACAGTTATCAATTAATTAATTAATTACTGAAAGATATTTATTGACAATTGTAGATACAGATTTAAAAAAAAAAATAATGTACATACAGTTTTAACCCACTTATAGCAATGTGCCAATAGAATGATCCATTTTGACCACTTCATTTATCCATTAAATGTTTTAAAACTTCAGGGAAGGAAAATGATACTTGCTGTAAGTGTGCATACAAGCATGTTCGCTGTACCTGAGTTTTACTGTAGAGTTGATAACTGTTTTATTGCTATATAATCATATGATAAAGGCAGCAAAACCTGGTGACAATTCTACCTCTATATATATACATACACAAGTTTACCTCTAAGAGGGCGAAAAAAGTATGGTACTATGAAATCGTTCTTTATTTGCAATTTAGTGTTCAACTGGCTATATATATATATATATATATATATATATATATATATATAAGCATTTGAAACATTTTCTTTTTAATTGGTTCATTGAATTGAATGCTACATTGTATTTAAAGGTCTTTAAGTATCAAGTAGCAAAAAGAACATCATGCATTGTATCAAAGTTTTAGCAACAAAATGACTAGCATGATGTACATGCAATCTGTTTCCTGTATGCTTAAGGAACATTTCAATTTGAAGCAATAGGGGATGGGGGAAAATGATTAAAATACAGGAAGCTTCTAATCAAATAATTCCTGCTAATGTCATGTGTAATTCTAAGCAGTGAAGCAATGTAACAGTTAAATACAGCAGATATAACACAGATCAGTCCTTTATGAGACTTTTAGTGATGGCTTATCTAAAATAGGCTACAGTTATTGAGTTCTGTCAGGGTAGTGATCTAGACTGTAGAAAATCTGGCATACATATCCCTTTAAAAACTAATTAATCTGTGAAAAATGAACAAAAGCATTGTTGTTTATTTAGTCAGAGCTTTTCAGATAGAAATCAAATCAATGTTCTCTTTTGCCTCCGAGTAATGGGAATTAATGAAGTGAAACTTTAAGTATTGATGACTTCCATATACAAGAGATTTTTCTAAATGGGTATTTGCACTCATGAGTCTGCAACAAATGCAATGGTGAATAATGATTTATCTCTCTTTCCCATTCTAAACAGGTTTTTTTTTTTTACTAGACCTATACTTAGTTCAACGTTTTCATTTAGGATGAATATATCTTAATATGTGTTTGTACACTTCTCTATCTCCCTCTTTTCTTTCAATCTCTATCTGACGGCAGCAGCAGCAACAGAAGTAAAAAAAATATTAACAGAACATGAAATGTTTCCTGATAACTTGAATATTTGTTAGTTTGAACTTTTGCTGGCTGTAGACAAATTCTGATACCACACCAAGTATGCTAGAGATCAAACTCTGTAGTATAGGCACCTGTGCAGACCCACAGTTGTTTCTTTTTATGCTGTGTTTGTGGTTTTGATATCAAACATTCCTCTCTAATCTGCAGCATCTTGTCCAACTATAGACTGGTGGGATTTACACAAGAGATTAATTGTTTTAACACCTCTTGTCTGAACATGCCTTTTTACGGGTGTCACTTGATTTGAATCATGAGATTTGAACTTGCTTCTCTTAAGAAAAAACATTAATAGTTCGATCAAGAAAAATGTATGTCAATTTGCAGTGTTTTATAATAAATTATGAAAAAAAAAAACCCAAAGAAATTTGATGCTGTCAGAGTAAGACATATAAATAAATAATAAAACTTGAAGCCTTACTTTTATCCTTAAAATATACCGAGTTTAAATAATCTAAAGTGGAACACATTACTGCATTATTTTTTGATGCATGAGTTTAATTAAATGCACTGAACCATCAAATTATAAGTGTGCATGTTCACTATCATCATGCAACTGTAACTTCCGTAGAATGCAAGAGGAATGAGTAACTGTGGAAAATTTCAATTTGCCTGTTCAGGTCCATCTCATCTGTCAATTAATATTGACAAGTACAGTCAAACATATTTATCTGGGTGCTTCTCAGTTTTAGGCCAAACAAAATAATAGTCTTGTTTCCTGCTACCTGACCGACCCTATTTTTTTGCACCCGACCCTAAAGTTTTGTTTTTTTTTTTAGTTTTGGGGAAAAAAATTGGAAATTTCAAGAATTTCATGTTCCAAAACTGAAAAAAATATATATTCAAGTGGTATTTCATGAAACTGTATGTTTTAAATATGGACTTTCATAAAATACCACTTGAGTTGTGCATCAAAAGACATTAGATTTAATTTTAAAAGATAATATTGACCTATGACATGTTTAATTTGGTTTTGTAATAGTTCATATCCAAAAAATACCATTGGAAAAAAATAAAATAAAATAATAATTTTCCTATCTACCTACCCTATTTTTTTCAGGTTGGTAGCAGGAAACAAGACTATTATTATTATTTATTTTTTGGCCTTAGGGTTTTTAAGTCAATTAATCTTTCAGCAGGTGAATACAACAGAGAGGAATAAGTACACCCTTAGAAACTTTCTAAATATTTTACATCACATACCCTCAAATATCCCCCCCTGCATGCTAAAGTTTTGGTGCAAATAGCAATAAGGTACTCGTATAGAATGAAAGGAAGTACTTACAAGTGTCCAGAAAATTCCTCGGACTGGCGGTATGAAATTTCAAAATTTTTCTGTAAAAAAATATACAACATTTTAATGAATGAAAGGTTTTATCATGTTGATATTTTTAAGATATATTCCATAAATGGAGATGTATGTGGTACATGTTTTGTTTGTATGTATAATCATGTCTTCTGATTCTATATCATCAGTGGAAAGATATCCCTAATATTTGCTAACATGAATCTAGAATAATTATTATTTATATATACTATATACAGGGAAATTTTCGCCCCATTTTATTTTCGCCAGCCTTTCGCCCTGCCCGCAGCGGGGCGAATTCAAAGAACACAGTATAATTTCTTAAACAAAACTTTGACTGGGCGAATTTAAAACGGGGCAAAATTGTATGCAAGTGTGAAAAGGCGAAAATAACACGGTGCGAAAATAACCCTGTATACAATATATATTATAATATGTAAAAAACAGGGTGAATGTAGAGTGAGGGTTCTTGATACACCCTCTTCTATCAAAAACGGATCATGCAACATGGTGTGATAATAATTTTCAGTATGAAGCCACTGGGGCCAGATTCATTTTGTGCTATACAGTTGAACTTTGGTATCTTAAACACTGATACCCTGAATAACATGGATATGTCGAAACTGCATTTGGAAGTCCCAACATATTATTTTTTAACTATTTTACCCTGATATCTCAAAAATGTAGATATTTTGAAGTTTTTTTGCGGTCCTATCAAGTTTGAGATAACAAGGTTTGACTGTATATACCCCTTTACATCTATATGGTACCATATATTGCATAGCATGTTTGGTCTTTAGCTGTCTTATACAAATACAAGGCCAGGCAACTGGAATATAATAAATAAAAAAGTACTGAACCCTCTCAAGCCAAATAGTCTGGTGGTTTCTTTCCTCTCTTTTGTAACATCAACATTTTTACTATTAAACATGCTAAAAGAGGTTAAATATTAATTTTTTTTTTTTAGCACAATAAAAACTTCATGTAGACTCTTGTGATAAATGTATATATAACATCAGTTGCAGTTCATGAAATGAAGCTTTGACTGCATATTTAAAACAAGATGTGTTTGTGAAACACTGATGCCCCCGTATGGCAGCTTATGGCGAAGGTTAAAGTTTCTCAAATGCAAGTCAAAATCCTGGCCAAAAGATAAAAAATGTTGGTACACAAAGAAAGGTCTTGTCTCAAGGAATATACCTGTGAAATTTGAAAGCCCTAGCTGCAACTGTTAAAAAGTTATGGCGAAGGCTAAAGTTTTTTAAAAGTAAGTAAAACGTCAAGCTCAAGGTCAAAGTTGTTGGTATCCAAAGGAAGGTCTTGTCACAACGATTACATATGTGAAGTATGAAAGCCCTAGCACCAACCATTCAAAAGTAATGGTGAAGGTTAAAGTTTTTCGAAAGTAGGTCAAACTGCTATGTCAAGGTCAAAGGGTCAAAGAGGTTGATATCCAAAGGAAGGTGATTGCACAAGGATTACATATGTAAGGTATGAAAGCCCTAGCATCAACCATTCAAAAGTTATGGCCAAGGTTAAAGTTTTTCAAAAGTAGGTCAAACTCCTAGGTCAAGGTCAAAAGGTCAAAGTGGTTGGTATCCAAAGAAAGATCTTGTCACAAGGATAACATATGCGAAGTATGAAAGCCCTAGCTCCAACCGTTCAAAAGTTATGGCCAAGGTTAAAGTTTTTCAAAAGTAGGTCAAACTCCTAGGTCAAGGTCAAAGGGTCAAAGAGGTTGATATCCAAAGGAAGGCCTTGTCACAAAGAATACATTGTGAAGTTTGAAACCCCAAGCCCCAACTGTTCAGAAGTTATGGCCAAGGTTAAAGTCTCATAAAATTTTGCAAGAGTGGGTCAAACTCCAAGGTCAAGGTCAAAAGGTCAAATTTGATGGTACCCAAAGAAAGGTCTTTTCACAAGGAATACACATGTGAAATATAAAAGTCATAGCTCCAACCAATCAAAAGTTATGGGCAAGGTTAAAGTTAACAACAGACAGACAGACAAACAGACAAACAGATAAACAGACAAACAGATAAACAGACAAACAGACAGACAGGACAAAAACAATATACCCCCGGGATCTTTCGATCCGGGGGGCATAAAAAAGGTCTGACTATTTATACTATATTCAGTGTTTACTATATATTCAGCACACTTGTCTCTGGCTGGCTGCATTTACAATAACAATGAAATGGTTCTATATCTATTCTTAAAACTTTATATGTTTTCATTATAACAATCTTAAATTTGAGTTTATGTTTTGTTGTGAACAGGAGAAAGGAATTTCGTCATTCAGACCCATGTAATTTAATTCTTTTTAGTAGAACAATGAATCCCACAGACATCTTACATCAGGCAATGTACTTGAGTGTTAGGACAAAAAATCTTTTTACTAAAATTAAGCATATTGTTGAAGGGATACATATACACAAGTTTATCAAAATCTAGACTTACGGGGAAACAGTCAAGTGGTTTCTCATAAAAGTTAACATTTCTGTGCAAATTTATGTAATTCATGGCCGTAGGAACCAGGGGGGCACGGGGGGCCGTGCCCCCCCCCCCCAATAATTTTGCCTACGGGCCTGTATAATTAGAATGAATAAATTAATAGAAATACATGTAGGCTATATAACAGCTATTAAGACACGATACATACATTGGACAATGTCCAGGGTGCTCTCTTATACTTAAAACATTTAATCATATACATAGACACTCCTCAAATTAACTTGTAAATGTTAATCACAAATTTCATCCCACAAGCTTTTAACCAGACTTTAAGTTAGTTCAAGGACATCTTTAAAAAACTTCGCATACTAAATAAATTCTTCACATTGTTGTGAACGCACAAAGAAGAAAATCGATACATGACAGGCCGCTTTCTCGACTTAAAATTCTTGTCAAATAAATCTTGTCATTTATTGCCATTTATTATTCCCTTTTAAATCATCTTAGATCTCTACCCTTTGCATAATCAGGAAATGTCCACTTAACAGCTTAATATTGATCAAACACATGTTTCTGGACATGTGCTGACAAAACTCACCGATTTCTTAGATGATGTCCACCCTTCGGTCATTTTATAATATCTCTGTAATCTATCCGCAACCTCCTCTGCCTTCTTCCTGAAATCCATTGTTCTTTCTATTAACACTTGTGCCAATTTCTAGTTTGTAATGTCTAATGCCGTTCATTCATTCTTTCGTTTTTATATATACAACACACACTTGAACAATTTGGTCATGTGACTTTCGGTCTAAGAATAGGCTTTGTAATGTGGCGGGAAATATTCAAACACACTTCATGGTCCTACACACATTAAAACTACGCTGTAATTAAAGGTTATTTAAAAACTGATTCCAACCAGTTTATTGCTAATAGATTGATAACAGCAATCGGTTTTCATAAAAAATAAAGAAGAAATTATTCGGTGGATATAAATATTTTATAATTCATGGTTGCCTTAATTGTTAAGTAGATTTTACGTTTCGGCAGATTCATTTTTGTAACTTTTTAATATATATACAAATATTTAATTCACTTACAACTTAACAGTGGGATTGATTTTCATGAAATGCATTATCCTGGAGTCTGATCCTTTGAAAATTTAGATTAAAATTCTGAATAAAAAAGTTGCGGATGGGCGGTCTGAAAAGGTCGGGAAAACAAAAATTCTGAAAGGGGGGGGCTGGCTTGCAGGCAGATTTAGGATAATCTGTCCTCGAAAATGTTAAAAATATATAAACTATCATCGAATGGCAAAATAATAAATAATCTGTCCTTGACTGTTGCTACCCCCCACCCCCGCACCCCACCCCACCAGAAAATAGTAGAGGGGTTTGTTGTTGTTGTTGTTGTTGTTGTTTTTTTTTTTTTTTTTTTTTTTTTTGCTTGTCAGACTTTTTTTCATTGAAGAAGAAAATAAATGATCTGTCCTCGATTAATTTGAATAATCTAACTGTGTCTCAAAGGCGCGGATCCAGTAATTTTTTTCCTGGGGGGAGGGGAGGGGGTCCACCCCAGTTAAAAAATGTCCAACCCAGAATTCTTGACAAGCAAAAAAAAAAAAAAAAAAAAAAACGTTTTCTAAGGGGAAAGGGGGGGGGGGTAGTCCAAATAATTTTTTATTTGCTTCAGTATATTTATCTCAATTCAATTCAATTTATTTATTGATTCACCAAACATGTTGGCATACAACCATGTTACAAAATGAAAAAAAATACAGTGTGTTTTCAGATTACTTAAACACATACTAAAGTACATACATACATGCAAGTTTACAAATCGGTGAAATCAACCACGTTTACAACTTGAAGTTATACATAATCATTATGCAAATAGTATAAACAGTATAATATGGACAGAGATGAACTAATTGATGCATTAAATATATATTATTGCGCTCTATTTTTAGAACGCAATTCAAAACCTTCATGTAAAAATTTGCATGAACTGCATTGTCAGGATTACAAAGTACTTTACAATGATTTTCCTTCAACATGTTATCATTTGAATTATAGATGTTCAAAGGATAATACTTTTTTCGCAAATCTTTATATATCTTTATATATAGGACAGTCATATATGAAATTTATTTCATTTTCTACAACAGTTTTACAATAGTGACAAAAACGAGATTCTTTTGGGATACAAGGCTTTGAATATCTGCCTATTTCAGTTTCTAAAGGGTGTGCAGAAATTTTCAGTTTTGTTAATTTAGAACGTACAGATTTATTAATTGGAAATTTCAAGTAGTAATTCATAGTTCTTTCTAATTTGACTGTAAAATAATAATTTACCACATTTGGTGAATTCAATGTTCTGAAGTTGCAAATTAACATTTTTTATGTAGAAATTTTCCAAGCAGCTGCTAAATGTGTTATCAGTAATATCTAATGATGGAAGTTTAAGTTTCTCAATCTGACTCTGCCAATTATCCTTTACACCATTATTATATAGATTGTCATCTTCTAAGAAAACAGCAATAAGAATTTGATTTCTAATTCCATTTTTATTTTTATGGTTTTTTAGTCTCTTGTAATATTTAAACATAGAGATGAAAGCTTTGCAACAAATAGGAAGTGTTCCTAGCTCATATTTAATGGCTTTTGAAGCTTTTTTCTGTACACCCAAGATGTCTTTAAATATTAAATGCTGTATCTTTTCAAAAGGTAGTTGATCACAATTGTTTATATTAATATTAAAGTCTGAAATCCATATCTCAGAACCATACAAAATTATAGGTTCAATAAGTGGAGAATATTATGTTTTAAAAGAGTTTTTACGGATAAGTTATTATGAAATGGTAAAGAGTGTTTCATTGCATAAAAAGCTTTTCTTGCACGGTCAGCTAGTTGTTCAGCTGCATACTTAAGTTTACCATTATAAGTAAAAATAATTCCCAGATTTTATACTCATGTTCAAGATGAACTATTGAATGATTATATGATAAAAACAATGTTGAGCTGTGTCAGGTTTCTTATTTGAGAAAATCATTGCTTTAGTTTTATCAAGGTTAACAGTCAATTTGGATTTTATGCAATATTCTGAGAGACAGCTATTGAGTTTTGAAGACCTTCTTTAGTAGTAGAGAGGAGAATTAAGTCATACGCATATTTACTCTGCAAAATCCCCCCGGCTCTAGATCCGCGCATGTCTCGAGACAGGTCCTGGTTAAACCACATTCTATCTAGTCCTCGATTATCTTGAAAATAAATATGTCCTTCATCGACATAAAAATAAAAATATTCCCCCCTCCTCTCATGGGTCTCCGCTTAGCCAGCCAAAAGTCGACTAGTACGAGTTATTTGTAGAAAGACTTGACATATACCGCTAAACTATGGAACATACTAAAGACCTGACCTACTAAAGACCTGACCAACAAAAAATTCTCCAAATATCAATATTCTGAGTTTTTATATCAACTTTTTCATGATATTTTCTTAATCATAAGGTGTAATTCAATTGAATAAAGATATATTCAATCATTTTTACCAAATTTATTGTCATTAATCAATTCATTTCATGAAAATTTAATGACCTGACCAAATTTGAAATGACCTGACCAAATGATAATCATTCATCATTGTTATCTTTTTAAAAATATTTGATACATTTTTAACATATATTCTCTATTATAATGATTGATAGTTTAGGCAAAATGTTTTTAGAAACATTTCTACCAAATATTTAGTCAGTTATCCATTCGTTTCATGAAAATTTAATGACCTGACCAAATTTGAAATGACCTGACCAAATGATAATCATTCATATTTGTTATCTTTTTAAACAAATTTGATACATTTTTCAAATTTGTTCTCTATTAAAATGATTCATACTTTAGAAAAAATGTTTTAGAAACATTTTTACCAAATATTTAGTCTATTTAATTGCTTTTTCACTTGTATTAATTGTATTATTTTCTTCTATTTTGCATGACAAATTGTTATATATAAGGAGAGGAACTTTGTAAGTTGTAAAGAACTTGTTTCCAATCCTTTTGATGTACTCAATAAAATATGTTCAAAACAAATATTTAGTCATTTATCCATTCACTTCATGAAAATTTATTGACCTGACGAAATATGAAATGACCTGACCAAATGAAAATCATTTGTAATCGTTATCATTTTATAAAAATATTTAATACATATAATGTTTAAAATTTATAAATATTCAGGTGTAATACTTTGTAATTAAACATTTCTGACAGATAAACACAAACTTATGAACCTATATATTAAATATGCATTGACCTGATGAAACTAAGCCGAATTTACATAAGCAACTTTTCACCAATTATAATTTAAAGTATCGTATGCGCTTAAATTAAAAAATCTTATCTTATATTTTTTAAGCATAAAATAAAATATAGATGACCTGACAGCAATTGCAGTGACCAGACTCAGACCATGTCTATACTAAAAACCTGACTGACCATCATATCTATATTTATTGTACTGACTGATCATATCTACTAAAGACCTGACCGACCATATATACATATAAACTAACATTGTTCAAAGACATAAATACATTAAGTAAAACAAATAGGGTTGACCGACCAAATAAAATAAATAAATGAACGGAAAAAATAAGGAAAAAATAACCATAAAAGAAATCTTGATTAATGATACATGTAATATATACTATCTTTGATATTCTTAATTTTGTGCAGCGCACTTCTATATGTAAATTACATTCAGAAGTGCACAAAGTTAGAAATGTCAAAGTTTCACGTATCTTCTAAAATAATATATATCTACAGTACCAGTATTTATTTAACCTTTCCAATATACATGTATTTATTATCTTGTTTTTTGCATGTATAACATGATTTGTAAATTATCTCAATTTATTTGTTATGACAATCATGCATCATTGTGCTTGTATAACAAGGAGAGGATCTCTTAAGTTGAAAAAAACTTGTATCCAATCCTTTTGTATGTAATATACAATAAAATATGTTCAAAATCAAATCATTTTAATAATATTTAATTTGTGCTTGTAATATCATCATTTCAACCTGTTTGGGTATTTTTTTTATTTTTTATTTTTTTATCAATTTTGGATACAGGAAAGTGTATACATATTTACAAAATTGGTTACTTTTAATGAAGGAGTGTGAAAAATTATCAAATGAATTAAAAGAATGCTTCTTTAGATCAAATCTATAAACTGTATATCAAATGGTGAAATGGATAATTGTTGATCCGCTTACTCTGCTAATTTATTGTGATAGAAGTGTCAAGAGGGGGCACTGGTCACCCATTGTTTGTTCAACAATTACCTACCTACATGTATATCCTTTCAAGGGAGCTTGTGTATAACTAGTGGACTATATCATGTATATACTACACTACTGATTAAAATTCGAGTTAATCAAATTTAAACTTAATTGTTTAAGATCCTATAAGAAGAACAAGTCATCACTTTTATCCTTGTATGCAGAAATTATTTTTCAAGATGATGTTTTATGACGAATGCATGCACTGCTAATAATTAGTAATGTAAATTGGCATCAATAGTTATGCGGAGATGAATCCATGAAAGAGTAATTTTTAGAACCTCATGATGCTAAGTTAAATTCCGCGAACTTTCTGAACAACTCTCTTAGTTTAAATTAGAATTCATAACAGTCTATAAAGTTGTAATTATATATACTTCCCATTTCGGTCAGTTCTTTAGTTTGTTACATTGGTCAGGTCTTTATATATTCATGTCAGATTGGTCAGGTCTCTACACTGGTCAGGTCAAGTTATAAAAACTTGATATTACTTCCGGGAAAATTAAACAAAAGACAAATTTTATTTAAAGCACGTTATAAATATCTGAAGATACATTCAAATATATAATCGGTCAGGTCATCGTACAGTCGATTTATAGGTCAATATTGATTTCATAATCTATATACTTGGATATAAAAAAAATATTTCATTTCAGCTGATAGATAAAAAGATTTTAAAAAGTGTGTGTGCTTGAACATACAGAAAATTAAGAGTTTTAATCTTGAGGTAAAAATGTTCGATCAGTATCTGGTCAGGTCATTAAATTATCATGAAATGAATGTATGGATAAATTGACTAAACATTTGGTATAAATGTTTCTAAAAAAAATTTTATCTGAAGTTTTATCATTATAATAGGTAATATATTTTAAAGATGTATCAAATATTTTTAAAAAGATAACAATTATGAATGATTATTATTTTGTCAGGTCATTCCATATTTGGTCAGGTCAATAAATTAGCATGAAATAAATGGATAAATGACTAAATATTTGGTATAAATATTTCTAAAAACATTTTATCTAAGTATTAATAATTATAACAGAGAACATATTTTAAAAATGTATCAAATATTTTTAAAAAGATAGATTAATAATGATTATCATTAGGTCAGGTCATTTCAAATTTGGTCAGGTCATTAAATTATCATGAAATGAATGGATAATTATAAATGACTAAATATTTGGTAAAATATAAAATTTATCATTATAATAGAGAACAAATTTGAAAAATGTATCAAATATTTTTAAAAAGATAACAATTATGAATGATTATCATTTGGTCAGGTCATTTCATATTTGGTCAGGTCATTAAATTTTCATGAAATGAATGGATAACTGACTAAATATTTGATAAAAATGCATCTAAAAACAGTTTATCTAAACTATCAATCACTATAATAGAGAATATATGTTAAAAATGTATCAAATATTTTTAAAAAGATAACAATTATGAACGATTATCATTTGGTCAGGTCATTTCAAATTTGGTCAGGTCATTAAATTTTCATGAAATGAATTGATTAATGACAATAAATTTGGTAAAAATGATTGAATATACCTTTATTCAATTGAATTACACCTTATGATTAAGAAAATATCATGAAAAAGTTGATATAAAAACTCAGAATATTGATATTTGGAGAATTTTTTGTTGGTCAGGTCAGTCAGGTCTTTAGTAGGTCAGGTCTTTAGTATGTTCCCTAAACTATGCTTACTGCTTCCGGTGTAAACAGAAAGAACGAGACCGGAGACGAATCGTTGCGTAAAACCAACTACTTACTACATGTAGAATGGGTTTAGGTGATATGTTCCACGATTTTTTCTTTGGTTCAAATAAACGCCGTCCTGGTCCAATTGAAGACGGTGATCAGTAAGTTGTATTACTTGTACATCTGTTCATCGGACAAGGCTTGTAAAAGTCTGACGAAATATGTGTTCAGCTTTCATGAGCAATGTAAATTGTGGGTTAACGAATCAAGGTATAGTCTGGGATCATATACAATAAGTGTATTTATCAATTCCGGAATGAGTCCATCCAAAAGAAAATACCGATTTCCATAACAAATTACACTCGATACCGAAGTAGGAACAGGTGGTGATATCAGGCACGCATATCACATGCACTTGTTTCGTATATAGGGTCAAGGGTGTACTGGGATTGAACCTGTATAAGAAATTTATTCCCTATGTAACCAAATGAAACTATGCATTGTGATGTCACATTATTTACCCTGGGCTCAAGGCTCAAGGGTAATTAACACCTGGCTTGCTAACCAATTTAATGTTACAAGCTACATAGGAAGTACTAGTATCAGACTTGTCGAAATTTTGAAATCACTGGCAGACATTTGGTCTGACAAAGTCAAATGTTCAGTCTGACTGGACGAAGTTTTGTCAGACCAGATATATGTACCTTATTTTGACGCTGAGAAAGGAAAATAAATAACAGCACCAAAATGTCCTTTATTATTTTCAACAGCCTTCAATCTCACAAGTTTCTTTTCTTAGGATAGAGAGTCTTTAATAAGAATAAGAGACATAAATAACATATTTTATGTCTTTCCTGTAACAATTTAAATTGACCATCGTCACTACACCGCACACACAGCCATCTCTTCTGTGTTTGTGACCTTCAGTTGCGCATCCCGATCGCGACCTTTTTTAAATTTGCATCACACTCGATTTTTTCAAACGGTCATTTGGACCGACTTTTTCTTAAAGGACTTGTCGCATGATTTTTCAAAAATCGTAATTTTATGAAAAATATTATCTACAATCTTGTTTATTAAAATTCTGAATCCAAGTTATCAGTCCAGACAAATTTTTACCGGCCTTGCCGACAGGACCGACGGATTTTAACAAGTCTGTAGTATATGTGTCTCTGGTAATATGAAAATTAAGCATGTTAATTAACTAAACTACAGTTAAACTTCAGTATCTCAAACACTGATATCTCGAATACCATGGATATGTCGAAGTGATTTGGAAGTCCCAAACACTTATTCATTATGTATTTTACCCTAGATATCTCGAATCTTTGGATATCTCGAACTTGATTCTCTGTCTCATTGAGTTTTAGATAATGAGGTTTGACTGTACTTATCTTATAAGTCCATACAAGATTAACAATATCATAAAATAAAAGAATATATGCATGAACATGATGAAGAATAGAAAAAAAGGTCTTAAATTAAAGTACATTGCACAATACTCTTTCTAAACTGCTTAATACCATTGTTCCTCCTCCACTCTATTTGGAGTGAATATAAATTGTTTGATTGACAAAAAGTCATGTAATGTTATTTAATATTTTTTTCAATTCGTGTCATGTTAAGATATTAATGATATTATTTTTATCTTTTCAAGACTCTTCAAACATGGCCAGCAGATTCCTGGGAATAGAAGAGGTAGAGATGAGTTTGAAGATTTTAACAGTATCTTTACTGAAAGTTTTGGTGACATGGAAAAACACATGGAAATGATGCAAAGAGAAATGGAGACTATATTTCGCAGATTTGGAGCAATGGACATACCATGTGAGTTTAAATTACCTGAATTTATCAAATCTGTTTATCTTACCTTCCAAAGCATGCTGCATCTGTGTGTCATCTTTAGTTGGCAAAAGTTTTTTTTTTAATTACACTAGACTATCTATTAGCTATATAATATATATCGGATATCCTTATATGAACCTACCCCTGCATCATCCCTCATTATTTATGATCCAGTGTTTCAAGGAAATTTGATTTGTGATGCCAAGCTTAACAAAGAGTCTCAAGTTATTGTCAACATATACATAATTGTTTATTGCAGTTGATAGTTTTCCTGAGAGAGATCCAAGTAGAAGAGAGGATAACCCTAGAGACTCCATGCTGAAAGAGGCAGATTCTCCACCAGAAAGTCGGACCTCTCCTCCACTTCCTCAGCCCTGGGGACATCGTCACTTTGTAAGTTATGGGCTCTTTGCACATTTTATCAACTCTAATTTAGTAAATGAACATCTTCACTAATTTGTTTTTTAGTTAAATGAGAAATATATTGATTAGAACTATGATTGACAAAAACATTAAATACTGAATAAAATGAGACTTGCATCTTTCTGTACTCCATGATATGTCTTGTGTTATTTTAGTTTGATGACTTTTTTCGAAAGTTTGACGCACAAGAACCAGGAATCAAGGAGGATAAAGGTACGTTAGATCTAGACACTAGACAGTTCTACAGATATATTTTATTTAGGCACATCACTCACTGTAAGTGATTTTCATTTAGAAATTACTTAGAAATAAATAATTAATTGCATAAAATTTACTATTGCTTTGTACATCATTATAAGACACATGTTTGATAAGAGTAACACAACTACCAGATTACTAATGAGGTCACCAGACCTTTGGTTTATAGACTGTGTATGTAATAAACCTGGCAGGATATTCTGATCATTGGGGGCAGTGTATTTTGATTTAAGGATCTATGATACATGTATTCGTAATGATACAGCAATTCCAATGCTGAGTACTTTTTAATTCATATTGATTGCTACAATACATGTACATGTATCTCAAGTTGTTATATTCTTATGATTCAAAGTAAATTGTCTCTTTCCAATAGGTATTTTGTATAATGTAACAAAATATATTAAAGAAAACAAAGATACATGTATGCATTTTTCTTTAATATTTTATTACCCATACCGAAATAAATTATAACTTAGTTATAACTTTTGTAACTAAAAAAAGGTGCAAAAAAGTTATAACTAAGTTATCGGAGTTTGGAACCGCCTGTTTTAAGTGAGGTATAATTTAGTTATAACTTAGTTACAAAAAAGTTATAACTTTTGTATAAGTTTTCATTTTTTATTTCAACATAAATACAGCAAGTGCAAAAAGTTACAAAAAAGTTATAACTACAAAAAGTTATACTTATTAAAAGTTACACAAAAAGTTATAAAAAAGTTACAAAGTTATACTTTAGTTATACCCAAATAAACGGTGGAAAAAGTTACAAAAAAGTTATACCCGGAAAAAGTTATTTAAAAAGTTATAAAAAAGTTATACTTAATAAAAAGTTATGAAAAAGTTATAACTAAAAAAAGTTATACCCATGAAAAGTTATAACTTTAAAGATTATGAAAAAGTTACAGAAAAGTTATAACTATGAAAAAGTTATGAAAAAGTTACAGAAAAGTTATACCTAAAAAAAAGTTATAACTACAAAAAGTTATACCTAATAAAAGTTACAATAAAATTATACACTTCATGTTGACCTGTGGTGGAATTACTCAATTATAGGCTTTAAAAAAGCTACTCATTAAAATTTTTACAAAAAGATTATTAAATTTTTTACAAAAAAGATTATTTAAAAAAAATTAAAAGCACTTACAATTTTATTTTATAAACATGATTAAGAGAGCTTGGTTCATTGTCAAATACAATTGAATGAATGCACATTCATGTTTTCAAGTCTACCTTATTTTTCATCAAGCCATCATAACAGATTGAAATTTCTCAGAATGGTTGTTTTCTTAAAATACATTTTTTTAGCATATAGTCATAAGAGTTTTTGTAAAATTACCTAGTAAACTGCATTCTATTCTTGTGAACTTTTATAAATAGGCATCACTGCCTAGATTTTAACTCTCTAGTTTTTCATGTTAGCGCCATGATCTAGCTGTACTTCAAAAAAAAAAAAGAAGGTTCTAAGCAGTGATTTCAGTCACAGTTCTTAGCTGCATACCACCCAAGTCCTTGCACAGGTATCCTTGTGGATGTACAGTTGTGATTTTTATCTGGATTATTTAAAGACGGGCTGCACCAGTAGTTGGCTGAGCTGGTCGAGGGACTTGGCCGTCCGGCCAGCGGTCTGCGCCCCTTGACAGGTTGTACTGGTAGTAGGCTGAAGTGGTCATGGGACTTGGCCGGCCAGCAGTATGTCCCCCTCGACAGGCTGCACTGGTATTTGGCCGAGCTGGTCGAGGGACTTGGCCGGCCGGCAGACAGTCTGCGCCCCTCAATGACCTGCACTGGTAGTCGTCCGAGTCTTCATTTGAAATATGCTTGCAATTTCAACCTTCTCTTCATTTTTCTTCAATTCTGCAAAAATTAAAAAGGTTCAAACTTTAAATATTTTAATTTTTTCTTTTAAAAAAAAGTTGAAGTGTTCCTGCACTCAAAGCATATCAGATTGGAACCACTCTTTAATATCAATTCATTCAAATTCAAGGCATATGCATCTATAACTTGGAAAACAAGAATTAGAGTTCTGTTGTGTAATTGAGAAAATTCAACCTCAAGGCTCATCACATAAACATGCATTAAAAAAATTTTAAACATAAAGAACAATATAGAACCTGACAGCTTTATAGGAATTAGCTTTAGATTTATCGAATTTGAAATAAAAACAAGATTTGATTATTTACTTACCTAAAACAGGTGATATTTTTGAAGGATTCACTCCAGCTTGGCACAGACATGAGATGCTCATGGAAAGAAATAATGTACCAGTATACTGCTGAAATTAAATAAAAATTAGAAATTTTATTTTACTCATTTCAGTACACTATATCATGTTATGATCATGTGGTGTTTAAAGGCTACAATATGTACAATATTAAAACAGTTCAGAGAATCTGTTAAACAATTACACAATATAGGTCATTTAATAATTAAACTGATCTATAGGAATATTTAAAGAATTAAATATGACAAAGAATAACATTTTTTGTTCCTATACTAAATGCTGAAAAAATATTATGTTTCAATTTCTTCACTTCAGTCTTTGTCATTGACATACCAATCAAAACAAACAAGAAATCTGAGATGGTGTCGGGTGGTTACGTTCCGATTCCGTGTTCGACCCACGTGGTTACGACCCAAGTGGTTTCGACCTACTCTAATGTATATCCCTACATGTGAATACCTGAGTACAGGGGTATACACTGTGCGGTAAACAAATGGATATTCGGTAGCTGTATATTGTATGGCTTCAGAGATGTACGTGTCAACAGGGGCCTATATACTAACGTTAGTATATAGGTCCCTGGTGTCAATAGGTAGTTGTTTCCGTATAATGTGTAGTCAACATGCAGTGAGAAGGTTTCCTAACATTTTTTTCTACTATCGCGGAGCATGGATGTTGATGAATTTGATTTAGTAATGAATTATATTTGAACAGTTTTCCATAAAAATTAATCAAATACTTCATCAAATGTACCGTGATTACATATGCACTGTCTAAACATTAATGTAGGTTTCTCCAAATTAAATTACATACGATAATTAACACAAATATACGCGGTCGATATAAAAAAAAAATGTAGACGAAAAAATAAAATGTAAAACTGTTGAAAGTATTAATTAATTTCGTTCGGAAGCAATTAATTGTTAATTAATTGCTTTGGAACGAAACCACTCGGGTCGAACATGGATTCGTGTCGAAACCACGCGGGTCGAACAAGTAGTCGGAACGTAACCACCCGCATTCATCTGAGATTCACATGCCTAGAATTTTGTTCATTCTACATATTTCTTCTTTTTTGAATGCCCATCTAGAGGTAATAAACATTTCCTACCAAAAACATCAAAATATTAACATAAATATTGCCTTACCGAATGATTTTGTCATCGTTTTTCTATCAACACTTTCAACACACCAACATTCAAATCGTCCATGAAAAAATCCGCGCTCTGATGTTAACCAATCAGAGACTTAGAATAAGTCACGTGATTGAAAATAAATAAATAAATAATTCATAATTAATTTATTTTAAATCCAAATAAACATAATTGTGTATTTTGAAAGTTATCTGAAATATTAAAAAGCCAGTTGGTGTTAAAATTTTGAAACAGAGTTCCAACAAAACGGACGTCGGGGCCGCCATATTTGTGTCGTTGCCGCATTTTTGAATTTAATATTTTATTTATTTATGAAAATAACTAGCAAAACTGGGTTATTTAATCAGGCAAATAATAAAATCCACATGTCCTAGTCTTCTGCTAAAATCTTAATATAACTGGCAGTCTTTATTCCCAACATCGTAATATCTGTTAATAAATGAACATACACACACTGTATGTTGTTGTTGTTTATCTTTCTAGCCACCCGATTGATTTACTTTAGATTTCAAACAACCCTTGTAAAATTGTACCATTGCGTAATACACAAGCTGAAATTTACGAAGTGTAGGCCAAAAAGGTCATCTAGTACAAACACCTGTGTCACGAGAAAACAATGGGGAAATTAACACTGTTTTGCACACGAAGAAAAATCTGTGCAAAATGATTTCATGAGATTATAACATTTGACCACTGTTTATATCTCTTGAACATTTATATTTCTCCAGAATTAGGGAAATTATTCCACCTTAAGATGTACATGCATATAATTTACAAAACATGAAATCTATATAATACGTGTTTTCTGAGAGAGAGAGAAAGAGAGAGAGAGAGAGATTATTCCCAACTTTAGATGAAACTAGTACTTACAAGACAAATATTAATTAAACAACAATATTTATTAATGAGAGAGAGAGAGAGATTTAGAGAGAGATTTATTCCCAACTTCAGATGTAATTTACTACAAGTCTCAACTTCACATCTCTTCTGTTGAACTTAACAGTGGATGTGGCTGTGGACTGTAATGGATGAGAAAAACATTGGTAGTAAAGATGTCTAAGAAGCCCCCCTTTTTCTTTAAAAAAAAAAAAATCTCAACTCACAACAAAGCAGAAAAATAAATGTCTGCGTAAGTAATAGCAGTATATAATGCAATTCATTATATGAATAATTTTTAGATAAAGAAAATTCTGCATATAAACAGTGGTACCTTTATGTAGCCCTTAATCATACCCACCTTTTTATTCATATCCTCTGTAGATATTACAGGTATGTAAAACTGTATTACTATACTAATATAATTATGCTTATTTATTATTTTATATGATTAAATTTCAACAGTTATATAAAAAAAATTTAATTTAGGTGTATGGTTAAAAAAAAAAAAAAAAAAAAAAAAAAAAAAAAAAAAACCAAAATATTCAGTTTAACTAAGTAGCCATTCTGCAAAATGACTAAGTCCAAATTAGGTACAAAAAAGTTACACAGAAAAATGACAAAGTCCTGAAAAGTTATGTTTTAGTTACATCTGAAAATGGCTAAGTCCAAAAAGGTACAAAAAAGTTATACAGTAAAATGACAAAGTCCAGAAAAGTTATCTTTTAGTTACACCAGAAAATGGCTAAGTTCAAAAAGGTACAAAAAAGTTATACAGTAAAATGACAAAGTCCAGAAAAGTTATATTTTAGTTACATCTAAAAATGGCTAAGTCCATTTTAGGTACAGAAAAGTTATAACTAAAATGTAACTTTTTCTTGAGGTACAAAAAAGTTACAGAAAAGTTATAACTTAGTTATAACTTATTTCGGTATGGGTAGTTACATGTATGTTAACCCTGAGAAAAATTTATATTACAAAGCTGGAATAATTACACTGTATCTATATTCCCTAAGTTTCTTTGACCTGTGCCACTTTGAAATGAAATTTTCTTATTCATTAATTTTTGGAAATGTACTACTATGCTCTTTTTGATTAGAAGAAAAAGATATTCGCTCATCCAAATTCTGAAATAATATTTAAGTTTTAATTATTCTTCACTTTTATTCTTTTTTGATTAATAGACTTAGATAAAGAAGCAAAAGATATTGACATTGCCCAAGTATTTACTGATCCAAAATCTGGAATAGTGCCATCAGCTCCACAGAGAGGGGGGATATTCAGCAGTGGGAGTAGCATCTCGGTGACCACTATTAGGGGTGCTGATGGGGTAAGGTTAAACGCTGCATTGTTCTTCTACTGCCTGAGCTTATTTTTATATAAAATAATGCTTAAACAGAGAATGCATCTGATTATTTATTCGCGTCTTGCTTCTACATTTAAAACTGAAAGTTCATGCATCATTATATTTTTTAAAACTAAGTGAATTACATTTCAGATAAATACTAGTACATTTGTATTTCAAAGTGTTAATTGCATTTCAACTTTTATTCCAATTTAAAAAAGACTTTAGCCTAGGGTTTCTTGGTACTGAATTTTTCATGAATAGTAAACTCTGATGTGTACACTTTAACTGTGGATTTTCTAAGATTACCTTTATTTGAAGCAAGGAGCATAACTTTTCTCCATCATGCAAAATTCTGGTAAAGAATGTCAATGAGTGAACTTTATGCCCTATATTGGGTCCTTTTGTGATTCCTCTGCTAAACTGTAAATGAAGTGAATCCAAAATATTTCATAAGCAACATCTACATATACCAGTACATGATTATGTTAGGTAGAACATTTGTACACATGTAACAAATTTAATTTGTTCAATTCTGTATATGGCAGACCAACCAAACAAACTCTCAAACCTGATTTAGATCAAGGTTACATTGTAGAATAATTTTTTTCACAACACTTGCAGCTGGACACCATATGATAAATTGTAATATTCAATTGTAATATTCTACAGGTCAATCGAGGTCAAATCAAAGTTAACACAGTCATAACATTGGAAGTGAAGAGTCATTGTAGAAAAAAATTACTCTGAATTTTTCTGTAAATTCAATGGATATGATCTTAATAGTTAAATGTATCCATCTTTAGGTAGTTTTATTGAAAAAAGAATGATACAATGTATGATTTGCACCTATTTCAGACTGTCTAATACCTGACTATTAGGAAAATATTTAATGTTTTTGAAAAATAAAATCAGCTGTTTATTGTAGAGAGTTGAACAAAAGAGGACAGTTAGAGACTCATCAGGGCGGGAGGAGACAACTGTCACACGCACGGTAGGGGACCAAACCCATACAGTAATAACCAAAGTAGACCCCTCAGGAACCCCTGAAACAACTGAAACCTTCACAAATATTGATGAGGGTAATTGATTATTACATTATTCATGCTACACATTGATTTTGTTCTGATTAACTTGTCACACTTTCTAAGGAAAGCAAGATTTTGATTTGTTTTAAATTTGCATTTTTTTTGGTTACTTTCATCATCGATTTATTATATTTATAAAAATAAACCTTATTTTCATCGTACTTTGTTAATATAAAAAAAATAAATATTAAATAAATAAATGAAAAAAAACCCAGCAAGTATTAAAACAAGTGTTTGCTTTTATTAAGTCTGTAGAGACCTAAATCAAAAGAAATGATTGAATACTCATGATCAGTTAAACATAATCAGAAAACTTTGAACTAAATAATTCAAATCTTATTTCATAGGAAATAAGAAAGATTTTAATGATAAGTGGGACAATTCTGCACGAAATCCTAGTCAGCCTATGTTATTACCAGACAATCCACAGAAAAAGCCAGGACAACCTGATGACAGATCCTTCTACGACAGATTGTTTGAAATGAGACTCTTTGGACCAAAAGATGATAAATAGCATCCTCCTGTACATTGTAAATAAGGGCTTTAATTTTACTGTTAATATTTCGTAATGTACAGATTTAGAAGTCTACATTGTCTTTCAGTTTATGGTGTAGGAAAATAAAGAGTTTGACTGTGTTGAGTTATTTTTGTCTGTAGGGATTCATTGTTAGACAAAATATTTTAGAAAAACCAGAAAGTACTACCACATCCAAGGGAAAAATAAATATTGTCAAATGTCTTATGTTACAAAGTTTATTTAATGCCATTTCTTTTTGGGGAAATTTTAATATTAACATGAACCTTAAACATATATACACATTGACTCAACCATAAGTTTTGTCAGTATAATTAATGACTATATTCTTAAGCTTCAGGTTTTGTGAAGGTTGAACTTTTCTTCATTTAGAAGTTTGAAAATGTATTTTACATTTCAATAATTTTTCTTTATGGCTTGGATACAATAAGTTATCCTTATAATTTCAATGCAAAATTTCCTGACCTTAAATTGTAATACAAAGAAATGCATTACACTGGGTAGAAATTACTACGAGACAAAATTGGCAGATACACCCCATGATCCATGTATGGTACATGTACATGTATTCATCTTGCTTCTCCCGGTTTCAGTATGTTTGTCATCACAGTTTGCAAATTTTGTTCTATACTTGTAAATAAACTAAACTTTAAAGTTAATGTTATGTGTTTTGTTTTTCCCCACTAAAAGGATCAAATATCAAAAACAGGATTTTATTTCAGTAAGCAAGAATCACTAAAATAATGGGTGGGAACTTCAGAAAATGACTTGACTTTCTTATTAAAGTAGTCTGTTTGCTACCAATGCATTGCTTTGAACATTAAAGTAACATAAAATACATTCATTTGTCAATATACTCAATATTCTTTGTTTAATTCTGTCAAATGGTGACCAGGAACTTTTCTTGTTGTATGTGAATGACTTTGAAATTGAGTTCATAACAAATGGTAATATTCCTGTACAACTTCAGGAATTAAATCTCTTTACTTTGATGTATGTAGATGACATGGTCTGTTTTGCTGAATCTATACACGAACTACAACAAATGTTAAATACATTGTATGAGTATGCATCAAAATGGGATCTTGCCATTAATGTTGAGAAAACTAAAATTGTTGTTTTTAGAAATAGAGGAAAAATACTTAATAACGTGGCGTATATATATTGAGCAAATAGAAGTGCTGGATAAATTTACATACTTCGGTAAAACCAATTTTAGCATTTATAAAAAGCAAAGTAGTAAGATAAGACTGTCATCACATGGTTTAGCTACTGAAAGTGGACGACATAAAAATATCCCACGAAATAACCGAATATGTGAACCGTGTTGATCTGAAATTGAACACGAATTCCATTTTGTTTTAAAATGTTCACGATATAAGGACTTACGTGTAAAATATATTCAATTTTTTTTACTGTGAAAAACCATCTATATTAAAATTAATACAATTATTATGTGTAAACAATATCAAAGAACTTTGTAATTATGGAAAATTTCTGTACCATGCTTTTAAAATGCTTAATGAATGCCATGTTGTATTATAAACTTTTTTTTTATGTTTTGTGCATTCTCCACAATGAATTACTGATTGTATAATTATTGTGCTAACTGTACCTTACCACCTGCGCTATGCCTTACTACATATTTTATACAATAAGATGTAAATCTTACGTAATAAAGTGAATATGAATACAATAAAACAATTGTAGCAAACACGCTTACAATGAATTCGTGCTTGCAAAAGTGATCAAGATTACATTTATGTCATTCTGTGGAGTAATGTTTATAGGATCAAGCAAAAAGATGAGATTTTATAGAAAATTTTACTAAAAATGGATGTACATGTATATGTTACAATTGTGGGAGACCTTTGTCACTGTTTCGGATGGGAGGATGGATGCGCAGCCCAGTTGGATGTCTACCATCCTTGACTGACAAAGTGAACTCTTCGGGTTAGAGTGTTCTTTCAAAACTTTGCATAATTTCAATTTTTTTCCCAGAACCATTGGGCCAACATTCACAGAAAGCATCCTTGTGGAGAGGATTCTTGAAAGTTTGTCAAAAAGAAGAGCCACATCCTCTATCAAGGGAGTAAAATCAATTTGGTCTGGTTATTCAAAGGACTTTCGTTATAGTTTCAAAAATTTGATATATGAATGCTTATGCACCGACTTTAGTGGAAACATTACCCATTTGGATTTATTTTACACAAATGGTGTTCAAAACTTTACTCCGGCATACGCATGGCAAAATAGTTAAAACCATCTAGAGAGAGTAGATCAATTCAATAGTAAAGCTTGTTTATATGCAGATAGATTTTTGGCCAAAATGTCATGTTCTGTATTCACTCCTAGTCAATTCAACATTTAGAACATGACAGAAGCAGGGACTAAGGCGTGTCCAAAATTGAGGACAAAAGTTTACTCATACAGATGTGCACAAATACAATACACAAATTTTAATGACAAATATATTGACATTCAGAAGAATAAGAACTTCAAGGCTAATATTTGTCAAGTTCAGATCAAGCCTACATATATAGTTTAAATTAAAATCGACGAATTCGTGAACTCTTATTTTGAGACAAATTACAAAGTTTCATTTATCAAGAGGTACATGTATATAATCATATTAAAATATTTTATTAAGTTAAGCTATCTAAACATTGAGAACAGAAAAAGGCTGAAAACTTGGAATGGATAAGAAAAAAAGAGTCAAAACACAAAACTATACTCATTTTACAATTAATGTAACCAACATATGTAGGTTACAAGATTTACAATTCACCACAAAGCTTTGATAACAATAGCGCTGCTTTCTGTCAGAATTTCATTTATAAGGCTAAACAGCTGTTAAAAAAATCATTTTTCTAGAAAAAACAAAGTATTGCGAAAAATTAGAATTTCAGATGGCAGATTTGAAAATGTAAATAATAAATTGTGATTATGACATCAAAGCTCCTCTTTTTTCTCCAATATTTGTTTAGGCGAGCTACTAAAATCCCCAAGTCGTTTTTTGATTTCTTCGTCTACATTAGAGTCGTCAGTCGGGGACACAGTTTCCTCCCTGAAGCGACGATGTTCCTCTGGCTCCTCAGAGTCTTCTCCTTCTTCCCTGTATCCACTCTCTCCATCCAGGAGTTTACGTATTGTGGGAATCTCTAACAAAGCCTTTTCCATATCCGCCATTTCCACTTCGTATTCTGTTATCTTTCCATCTTCATCAGCATCAAGAAGTCTAAATAGCTGAGAAAAAGGTAATGAAAAAATGAAGAACGCAATAAATATGACAGTTGTATTAGACCAATGAAAAAAAAAACAGACTTGCTGCAAGATTTGGTTACATAGTCGAACTAAAATTATGATTATTTCTTTTTTAAATCGATGGAAAATCGATAAAATGTATAATAAAAGACTTTGGCCAGCTAGGTAATTATGTTCATCATTATTGTCTACAATCTAATTATAGATTAGATGCTCCGAATCCGCTACCGCTTCTCAAACGATGTTTGAGATTGAGAATCACAGGGCCAGTGGGACACTGAACAAGCTATGACCTCCGTTTAAGGACAAAATAAGAGTATGAAAGGCAGAAAAAAATGCAGATGGAAAAAAAAAGATTGACCTCGACATTTCATCTTTTGGCCTTAAAGTCAACAGGGGTTCTTTCTAAAGTTAAAGAAATTCATAACCTTAAGTTTCATGGCAAAAGCTCACAGAAAATTAGAGTTATCATCTGAAAACTACATTATGCAAGTATGAATTTCTGATCGTTGTCTTTGATCTCAAAGTCGATACGGGTCTTCTTTCAGCCATACTGACTAATGATATAATAGTTCATTGCTAAACTTCATAGAGAACTGAAGATGTCACGCTATATATAAATTTCTGACCTTGACTTTTGGACCTTAAAATAAATAGGGATCTTCTTTTATGATACAAATTTCACTTAAAAAGCTAAAAAAAAAAAAAAAAAAAAAAAAACTAGAGTTGTCATCTGGGAAACCATTTTAATTAATCATATAAAATTTCATTGAAAAAGCTCCATGAGAACTAAAGTTATCATCTGGAAAAGAAATTCGAAATACTTCTCTAGATCTATATATAACATTTCTGACCTCGTCCTTTGGCCCTGTGATTGCAAATTCTTTAAGTCATACGAGGTTAAGTTATAAATTTTCATTTCAAAAACTGATGGACGTTTTGAGATATTGTCCGGAAACTAAAATGATACAAACAGACAAAATGACAATAGCAAGGACGGCTGGATTTCAAATTAGGGCAATTCTCTGTTAACCTTCGACTTTCAGTAAGGCGTGACATTCTCAACGCTGCATAATTAGCGTCTCTCCAATGGTGACCTAAATTCTCATTGGTTGCTACATGTAGCTCATCAATATTCATAAAGTAGCAAAAGTGCCAGAAAAGAAAACGCAGAATTGTGGGCCGGGGCGTTCGATAATTTCTTTCTGCGTGTTGTCTACTTTGCAAAAATAAGCACGAGTAAGAGTTCGTATTTCAATGACATTCATTTAATTTTTTAATTTTTCTTTCAGTGGCAACAAACAATTCATGGCTTGGAAACACTTACGCTGGGAACATATTAGGATCCTGCATAGCAGGTGTAAATTTAGATGATTAGATATTTTTCCAATACGTAGGTGGCATATAAGTCAAGCCCGTAGCAAAGTTTTTCAAAGTAAAAAGGAGGCAGCCTCCCAAAAAATGACAATGAGAGAGAGAGAAAAAAAAACTCCCTAAACTGCCCCAAGTCCATCTTTTATCTTTTAAAAATACTTAATATAACATCTATTTAAAGAGGATCTACCAACACTATATGAAATACCTCGAAGTTGACATTTTAATATACATGTACATATGACACCCCCCCCCCCCCCCCCGCCTTTTCAACCTCCAAGAATTACGATACTTTTTTTCTTCGTTTTATTCATGAATTGAATTTTCCCATTCGTCAACATATATGTTGAAATTTTCCGAGAAAATAAAGATTTGCCCACCTACCTACCGACCCAATTTTTTTTTACCCTGTGTCGGGAGAGAGCAAGCAAATATTTTTAATATGTCCTCACCATTGAAAAATTATTATTTCTCCGACCTAATTAAGATTGTACACTACCATTTTAACTACAATGCAATAGTGTGGTCTGATCGTCATTTTTTTTAATTTTGATCATGATTTATAGAAAGTCGGTCAAATGACCCTAGGTGACAAACTGAAATTTACACAGCTTTTCATTCACGGGTGAAATATACTGTACATGGGATAAAAATCAGGCAAACGTCAAAAAGTGTAGCAAGGGACCAATGACAGCGTTTCTTACAGTAAAGATATGGGGCTTTAGTCTTCTCATCGTTTGTCAACAACAATCTAATTAAAAAAGTTGATGATAATATTAATTTCTTAACCAATGAGAATGTAGATCACCATTTGACTGACAGTAATTACCGGTATCAAGCGTCTAGAACGTCACGCCCTACTAAGAGTCCAAGGCTAGCAGAGATTTGTACTAATATCCTTTGCTTTTAGTAAGAGAAGGAGACAATATAAGAAAAAAAACGTTTCTTCAAGTTTAGGGGGCTAAAAATTATGCTTTTTTTAACCAGCCTACCTAAAGGATTTACTGAAGGGGTTTCAACTTATACTAACGAGTGACGAAGAAATAGAGTGCAAGCACGTAGATCAGAGGAGAGGAGCTTTTTTCCGAAAACAATATTTTGCTGAATATTAAGTCAGTTTGGAAACTTTCATTGACAGCCGGTTGCCCCCCCCCTTCCCTCCCCACTTTTTTGTTGCAGTATGGTAACATCTTCCCAGCTTAAGGATATCCGATCCTCAGCCAGGAAGGATAACTCTTTGATTTATTATTTAATTCAAAAAGTCTCAAAATGAAGTTGAAAAATATGAAATCTTTTCATGCAACAATTTTCATTTTATGCATCTCAATGTGATTCAAGGTTCTTTGAAGTTTTAGAAACAGTCTTTTAAAACGTTGATATTTTTACCCTATAAAGGTATGTTAAAAATACAGATTTAAAGAAATTGACTTTTCCTTTAATTTAGCCTTAGATAGCAATGCAAATTAGCATGATATGAAAGTAGAAATGATTTATGGTGTTTTGCAATGAAGGAAACACTTTATAAACTATGCATTATAAAATAATAGAAGTACACAGAAGAAACTAAAGTACTGTGTAAGTATAAAATCATGCAATTTTCTTCGAATGCCTGGATACCTATTGTTTTTTATCCTAAAATGTTTTTGTTGATCAATTTCTAATTAGAAAATGCATAGCAGGTGTCTTTATTCGCATTTCTTGAAATTTTATTTGAGATTTACTAATTTTTCCTACATAATATGATTAACTTTAATGATGAAGTTTGAACAATTGCAGTGGGTAAATTCACATTACTTTGAGAATTCAGAGACATTTTTTGAGCATTTTCAATTTATCAATGCCTGATTTTCAGAACCTGAGGAGCGGACTACCTTAATGTAATACTACATATTACTAATACTACATTGTCGCAAAGAGAGAGTTGGATCCTATCCCCCTTCCCTCAAATATCCCTTTGAGAGGAGGCATGACCATTTATTCAACGAAACTTGAATCCCCGTCACTCTTAACGATGCATTGCGTCAAGTTTAGTTGAAATTGGCCCTAATATTCTGGAGAAGAGGTTGAAAAGTTGACAGAAGACACACAACCAGGCAGACGACGCTGGATACTCTTTAGAAAAAGGTCACTTTTGCCTTTGGCTTTGGTGAGCTAAAAACTGTCCTTGACACTTATTCCGCTTGTATTAAATACTAGTATCGGACACATACCTTTTCAATTTCCTCTTTTTTTATTTGTGCCGAATTCATTAAGTTTTTAAACTTCTGCCAATCCATAGATTCTAACTCTTCTACTTCAGCCATCAAAAAGTCCCTGAAGTTTTTACAAACAATTTTAATTCATACGGTTAGCAAGTCTCCAGAATGTTATTTTGTGATAATGTTATTTCATACATGTATTAGTGTTCCAGATGGAACAACTGCAAAGATTTTCAAATATACCTAAAATCTGTGACGCTCGCGTCCTTCCTGAATGCAGACACGGAAACAAAGCTCTTTTCGTCAGGGTTGGTTATGTTACAATCACTGTCGTTGAATTTAGTGAGGTGATGTAGCCAAATGTTTATAGCAAAGTTTCTACCCTTTTTGGAGTCTACATGATGGTACCATCTACATAAATCATTTTTACAAATGTTCAGACATAAAAAAATATGTAAGTATTTTAACAAGCTAATTTAAAAAAAATTGTCGTACCCCGCTATCGGTGTTTTAGTGGTTAGGATGAAATTATTTATGACATATTGTAACTGTCTTGTTTGTATTTCCTGTCTTGTCTGTGCATCATACAAAAAAAAAATTCAAATTATTGAAGTAATAACAGTTATGGCAAAGATTATAGCTTCTCAAGACTTAGTCAAACTTCAAGGTCATAAAGTTATATATCATAATACAATATATCACAAGTAATGCACATGTGAAAAAAAATCCCCATCTCTTCTGGAGAAAAAAATTATGGCAAAAAAAAAAAAAAAAAAAGATAAGTAGGTCAAAATTCTAGATCAAGGTCATGAAGCCAAAAATGATATGTCTTTCTGAAAGGTGTTGTCATATGTAACGTACATGTAAAAATATGAAACTCCTATCTTCTCTAAATCAAAAGTTAATACAAATGAAAAATTAATTTGAAAAAGACTGAAGGTAAAACTTCAATGTCAAGGTCACGAGGTCAAAAACTAGAGTGCATTCGAAAAGGTCTTAATTTGAAAAAGGGAATGCATATGTCAATTGTAAATGCCATATCTTCTCTCAATCAAAATTATCGTCAATGTTAAAATTTTTGAAAATTAAATCATACTTCAAGGTCTTGGGTTAAAAATCACAGTACATTTGGAAATGTTTGTCACAGGTAATGCATGTGTCAAATATGAATGCTTTATCTTCGCTCCTTCAAATGTTAGCAACAATGATAAAATGGTAGGTCAAAGTTCAAGGTCAAAGTCACGGGGTCGAATATCATGTAACACTCGGAAACTTCACATAAGTAATGCACTTGTAAAATATGAACACTCTATCATCTCTCATTCAAAAGTTATCACCAGTGTTAAATTGTTTGAAATTTGAGTCAAACTTCAAGGTCAAGGTCTCATGGTCAAATAACATATCACCATTCGGAAACTTTTTGACACTGGTAATGCACTTATCAAATATGAACATCCTATCATCTCTTCTTCAAAAGTTATCACCAATGTTAAAACTTTTGAAAATTAGGTCAAGCTTCAAGGTCAAGGCCACGAGGTCAAAAATCATAGTATATTTGGGAAGTTCTTGTCACAGGTAATGTACATGTGAAATATGAAAGCACTATCTTTGTTCATTCAAAAGTTATGACCAAGGCAGGACTCTAATTGGCGACTAATTTAGTCGCCACGGCGCCTAAAATTTTTGACTGGCGACTAAAATTTCTCTATAAGTCGCCAAATTGGCGACCATTTTTATTGCCTTGGCGATTCTCAAATTCCAAAATATAAACATTTTTAACATTTTTTTTTCTAAAGAGGTGAAAAGAAGTTTAAAAGTTAGCAATGAGCATGTCTTGTGTTTTCTTTGTCACCTTGTTTATCAGCTTTTAAAGTTGGCGCCTGAGAAGCTTGGCGACTAAAAAATTTTGTTGGTGACTAAATTTTTTTTGATTAGGAGCCAGCTGGCGCCTAAATTTTAGAGGTCACTTAGGGGCCTGCAAGGTTTAAGTTTGTTAAAATTTTTGAAAAGTAGTCAAACTTCAAGGTCACAGGTTCAAAAGTCATAGTATGTTTAAAAAGTCACAGATTAAAAAATCATAGTATGTTTTAAAAGGTCTTGTCAAAGGTAATGTACTATGTGAAATATCAAAACTCTATCTTTTCTTATCCAAAAGTTATGACCAGGGTTAAAGTGACAGACAGACTGACAGACTGAGAGATGAATGAGGTTTAATGTTCCTTTGTTTTAGCGAAAGCGGGGGACAAAAAAGCGAAGGTAAATACACTAATACAGTTGAACTTCGATATCTCGAACAGGGATATCTCGAATACCATTGATATGTCGAAGTGAATTTGAAGTCCCAGGTGCTAATTGCTTAAGTATTTTACCCTGGATATCTCGAATCCTTGGATATCTTGAAGTATTTTCTTGCTCCCATCAAGTTCGCGATATCGAGGTTTGACTGTACATGATCCTATTTATATAATTATGTACGTACTTGTATGGGATGAAAAGACAGTCTCCTTTTTGCATTTTGATTTCATACCACGGTAAATCACGCAGTTTAGGAAATCGATAAAGATCCACTTTTTCCACATCCACTTTACTGTAAGCGCCATTTTCAGTCCAACCATCGCCCTCCACCTCCGCCTTGTGTTTCTGTCAAAGTATGTACACGTCTTACTGTTTCAATTATCACAGTCAAATCAGAAAAGGGTTATTTGCTTTGAACAGTTGTTCTGTTTAAGATATTCACCACTGTCACTGACTCGAGTACATGTACAAAACTATTAATCTAAAATAATTCTTAGAATATTATGTTTCTTTGAACTTTATGTCAAAAATCTTGAGCCCATTGCAGTGGAGGTAAATTACTTCGAATGATGACGTCATAGTGTTTATGAAATATTACCAATGAAATATTTTGAAAACAGCGTAAAATTGGTGTTTAGAAATATCCTGAATATTGTATGTGAATCGTATTACATGTATGGAATTAAATTGTATTGCTGATCTATTTTCATCACTTATTTTTTTCATTTGACATGCAGTTGTGTAACAAATTACAGCCAGTCCTTCCTCTATCATTCTTCACAACATCGTGGAATGTAAATATATAAGTAATAGATAACGAAATTCAGCGAACATGGCGATATGAATAGCAATTTCTCTGTCTGCATATTTGGCAGAATATGCCAGCAGAGCAATTGCTATTCATAACGCCATTTTTCACTAAATAACATTGTTTACATGTATTTCTTAAATAAAAACAATGTTAAATTATCATAGCTATGTATAAAATATGTGATAAAAAGAATCTCCCGTTGCCAAGGCTCGGGAATAGAAAACACACGACGGGTTGGATAAAATCATATCCAACCACAAACCATGGAAGATCCTATGAACGTATATTATATATAATTTTTCTTATTACATTTTCTGTGAAATACATGTACTGTAATTTAGTGATAATTTTGCAAGTGGCAGTGAAATATCAAAAGTGATGATTTTGCTAAAATATAACCTTCCCTTCAAGAAGTGTTGTAAATACATAGCGAAAGTAAAGAAACCATCGTGACATGGGGCAAAATTGCCAGTTTCCCCGCTTAGCACAGACGTCACGGCCTACGACATTGCAATACGGAAAGACAACTAAAGAAAATGTAATATGTAACGTCCTGTAATTTTCACTCGTGAGATAAGCTTTTAACTCGTGCATTGCATTCTTTAAAAAATAATCCTATTGTAATGAAAAAGAATAATCAAAGTGGATTGAAAGGCGCCTGGAATCGTCTAATCAAATCATTGCAGATTTAATAAGTTGTAATTGTATTTAATTTTTGATTTAATTAATTGTAATTAGGCATGGGATAAAAGGTTTAAATACAGACACCCATCAAGTTTACGTGTACATGGTTTGTAACTCATTGCTTGAGTATCACTTCTTAAGGCTATATTCTTGGGCTGTGTCGGTAAACAACAGAATTGTTGGAGCACTCAGCTCAAGGATCTAGTTCCTTAGTGTCTCAGTGACTAGTGTCTTGGTGACTTTAGATTGTGTCTGGTTGACTTAACATAATAAAGTTGTCTCAGTGACTTTTTAGGGTGTGTTTTAGGGTAGTTACAGACTGTGTCGGGAAACAACAGAATTGTCAGTTAAACCACTCAGTCTGCAGCTACTGAGATATTATAGATTTGATCATTGATTTGATAAAAGGTGATTCTCTTGTTATATAGTTCGTTTAGTTTAATTACAAATCATTATCCAGATAGGACCCAGGAAAAAGCATATATAGTCGATTTCAGTCAGTTGTTCTTTTAGGGACATTGATATTATTGAAGTTTGTTTTGATTTTATATCATAAGCGTAATTCTTAGGAAGGAAACCTAAGCGAACCCAATTATTAATCATTTGTACATCGTAAAAACGTTACACTATCCCGCTTTGAACAATGAATATCCCCTATAAAGTTTCACATTTCGGCTTTACTGCTACCTTGTCGATCATGACGAAGTATTTCTCGCCGTCAATGAGACAGTTAACGTTGTCCAATCCGTCGTTGTGTAATACTGACTTTGTTCCTCCGCTACTGAACCACATGATCACATTCTGTACAACTTTCTGGAAGCCCCCACACAGGAACATGGAGGGCATGTTTATTTCCTCTGTAAGGTGAAACACTTAATTTTTCTCCATAGAAAAACGAAGTTTAAGCACTTTTAAGTTAAATTTTCTGTGGAAAAAAACTTTAGACTATCTATTTCAGGAATATAAGCAATACTTGATCGTGTGGTTTTAACATAGAAAAAAGAAAGAAAAATTGTACTGACTGGCCATTTCCTCGGAGGCGTCATTAACCATATAAATGTCTTCCTTTTGGTATCGATCTAAGAAGTCAGACATAGTAATGCTTAGCATGTTTCCTCCTCTATCCTCCTTTTTACCGCGTTCTACATCGACATTTTCTGTTCCAAAATGTTCTCTGCAAAAGACATAATTTGGTCATGTTTAAATTGTTCATGATTCAAACCTCTTCTAAGAATTTTATTTGACGAAGATCTGGCAAGAAATAATAAAGTTTTTGGTAATAAATTGTTCCATATTGAATCTGAATGGGTTTTTTTTTTCTCTCATTCTATAAAGCTTCACTGCAAATTCAAATTCTTGAAAGAATTTTCAAAAATTGACTACCTAATGATTCTGTATGTAAAACTCTCAGGAAGATTTTATATGAATAAAAATCTCATCAAAGAGTAATTGAAAACAAATATTGACCTAATAATCCTGTAAGTTAATGCCGATATCTAACTGTAGCTAAACAGTTAAGAAACGGTTTCTGTAAATGTTTTAACCAATGACCTCTGTACTAAAATTCGAACTATTACGTTCTGTTAGCCAAAAACAATCCATGAATTTTGTAACTTAAAACATAATTTAGTTTGTATTTCAATAAAAATGCTAACCTACACGTCAATTACAAGTTTTAGTTTCGGAATAATATTAAATTACATATGAATGTTAGGAGCTGTAAGAATGTTAGGAGCTGTAAGAAATCATTCCATTTGGTTATTTCATTTTACATCAAAGTGTTTTTCCTTTTTTTTTTTTTAATAAGAAACATTTTCTCACATGAAATTTTCAATAAAAAATGCTCTTTATTCAATTTTAAAAGTACATGTACTAAGCGAAGCGTACATCAACAGGAAAAATTGGTTGAATTAAAAGATGATTATATATTTGGAGTTAAAAGTTAAATAAAATAATCTGGGGGCACATGGTAAATAATTCATACATGTACACCGTAAATTAGATTCGTTATTTATGCGAATTGTCACGTACACATGTATATGTATCATGATAACCATACTTAAAAATCTATTATGCACGGCAAGCATTTTTTGACATACAAAAGTATCTCATTATGGAAGTTCATCGTTTAGTCTGTATAATGTATTGATTTTGTAGAAGTCCTTTGTTCCGTTTTTGCTCGACACTTGAAATTCAAGTCTACTGAACACGTCGTAGTAAATGTACCAAACACTAATAACAGGTGTTACTGTGTGTTACAGGCAACAGATTCACGTACTATTGGACAATCCAAATAATATTTACAACATTAATATATTTCAACATAAGTCAATATTTTCAGCAGCTGATATTAATTTATTTTTAATATTACTCTTTAGTCTTTATTGTCCCTCTCTTTCGTCTTCAAGGGGAAAAAATCTGAATCTGCAGTTATTGTGAAAAAAATAAAATTAGTCTAATATTAAAAAAAAAACGATTCTCTAGTCATCGTGAAAATATTTGTATCTGTACGAAGACATTATGAAAATAATCTGAATCTGTAGTTATTGTGAAAAAAAAAACAAAACAAATCAATCTGTAATAATTTTATTTGAAAAAAAACCAAAACAAAACAAAACTGATTCTATAGTCATTGTGAAAAAGTTTGAATCTGCATTTAGTTATCATGATACTAGTAATCTGAATCTTTAGTGGAAAAAAAATCATTAATTTTTTTTTTAAAAAAATCTAATTCGTGTTGTCACCATGAAAAATCTAAATCTTAACGTAGTCATGGTGAAAAATCTAAATCTTTACGAAATCTCTGTGGAAAAAAATCTGAATCTCATTATGTCATCATGAAAAAGTTTGAATCTGTACGTAGTCATGGTTAAAAATCAAAACGTGTACTAGTCATCGTGATAAATCTGAAACTGTACATAGCCATCGTTATAAATCTGAAACTGTACATAGTCATCGTGAAAAAATCTTAATCTGTACTTAATCAGCGTAAAAAAATCTGAATCTCCTTCTGTGCGTAGTCATCGTAAAAAAAAATCTGAATCTGAAGTCTATATGAAAAAAAAATGAATATGTTATAATCGCTAGAAAACTGAATCTGTTCTCGTGGTTCGAGGAAAAAAATCTCAGTCTGAAGTCATCATGAAAAAAATGTGAATATGAACATAAATTTTGTAAAAAAAAAATAAATATATAAATAAATAAATCTGAAAACAATACTAGTAATGGTCAAATATCTGAATCTGTACTTATTTACTGGGAAAAAGTCTGAATCTGTACGTAGTCATTGTGAAAAGAAAATTTGAATCTTATTGTATACGTAGTCATCGTGATAAAAATCTGAATCTGTATGTAGTCATCGTGATAAAAATCTGAATCTGTATGTAGTCATTGTGAAAAGAAAATCTGAATCCCATTCTGTATGTAGTCATCGTGAAAAGAAAATCTGAATCTGTATGTAGTCATCGTGATAAAAATCTGAATCTGTATGTAGTCATCGTGATAAAAATCTGAATATGTATGTAGTCATCGTGATAAAAATCTGAATCTCATTCTGTCTGTAGTCATCGTGAAAAAAATCTGAATCTGTGTGTAATCATCGTGATAGAAATCTGAATCTGTATGTAGTCATCGTGAAAAGAAAATCTGAATCTGTATGTAGTCATCGTGAAAAGAAAATCTGAATCTGTAGTCATCGTGAAAAAAAAGAACATGTAATAATCGCGAAAAAAATCTTAATCTGTTATCATGCATCGTGGAAAAAATCTTAAAACTAAAGATTATTAATTATTATATCAATTACCTTAAGTAGGAGTCTGTCCAGCGTTTGTACGCAGGTAGCATTCCTTTCTCTAGGATGCCTCGGAAAATAACAGGTTTACTAGCTTTTACGTAATTTTCAAACATTTCTTTCGGAGAAGGAAACGTTTCTCTCTCTTCTACTGACTTTATAGGAGGGCGATGGCTACCTATAGGCTTTCCATGACCAGTGGGATGGTCATTAGAGCAAACTTCACTTCGTAATATCAGTAAAACGAACAAGAAAAGTCCCCACATTGTACAGAAGTCAAACTGAATTTTGATTATTTTCTACTTATGACACTTGATAACATCTGTTGAGCTGATTTAGAACGAAGTATGTGATATCACCATCTGTCAATATTCTATAGCTTAATGTAATGGCGTTTGTAAACTTGTACCCATTACATGTTAAATATGTACGGGGCGCCGTTTTAAGCATATATGATCTATTTCCTTAGCTTATTCTCTCCCAGCAGTATGTAGCACATAGAGCAGTCATGCTTCTCCTACTTGTGTTCCTAACAATTGCCTGGAATTTTTAATTCCCTCATACTACTGACAATGCTGAAAATGGACAAAATTTCCCCAAATTTCTTCGTCATGTTTTTTCACCCTCATGGAAAGAGCTAGGTATTGAGTCCTATTGCTGAAATAATTCTCTCAATTGTTGACACTTTAATTTCTTTCCTCAGAGGGTTTTAGAAACACCGATATTATATATAACTTATGTGTACTTTATACAACAGAATTTGACAAAATACTATTTTGTAAAATAGTAATATTTCAGACATCAGATAGAAAAAAATGTGTAAAAAGTAATGAAACAGCGCCTCGTATTTATCTATAATGAAATCAAGCATAAACACGGTTTTTAAATTGAATAAAATTTATGGCATCTTTATCGCCAAATCTAAGTGTATTTTTTTATAAAGTGGATACCTTTCTGATTTTTTGTATCGTTGGAGTTACAGTTAAAGAGAAGTGCAAAAGGAACATCCGAACAATTGAAAATTTTTACAATTTTACATTTTATGCATTTTTTCAAAAGCCCGGTCTATAAGAACTCAATCCACTATGACCTCTGATTCACGATTTTTATGCCCCCGTAATCGAAAATTCGGGGGCATATAGTTTCTGCCCTGTCCGTCTGTCTACCTGTCTGTTTGTCCGCAAAAACTTTAACATTGCCCATAACTTTTGATTGGTTGGAGCTATGGTTTTTATATTTCACATGTTTGTTCCTTGTGACAAGACCTTTCTTTGCATACATCATATCTGATATTTTGACCTTGATATTGGAGTTTGACCCAGTTTTACAAAATTTTACCCAACTTTAACCTTGGCCATAGCTTTTGAACAATTGGTGCTAGGGCTTTCAAACTGTACATGTGTAATCCATGACAAGCCCTTCATTTGAAAACCAACAACTTTGACCTTGACCTAGAAATTTGACCTACGTTTGAAAAACTTCAACCTTGGCCATAACCTTTGAACGGTTGGAACTAGGGCTTTCATAATTCACATACAATGTATGTTATTCTTGTAACAAGCCCTTCCTTTGGATACCAATAATTTTGACCTTGAACTTGGAGTTTGACCTACTTATGGAAAACTTTAACGTTGGTCATAACCTTTGAACAGTTGGTACTACGGCTTTCATACTTCACATGTGCATTCCTTGTGACAAGACCTTCCTTTAGATACCAACAATTAGAACCAATTGACCTTGACCTTAGAGTTTGACCTACTTTTGGAAAACTTTAACCTTGGCCATTACTTTTGAATAATTGGTGCTAGGATTTTCATACTACACATATGTAATCTTTGTGATAAGACCTTACTTTGGATACCAACCATTTTGACCCTTTGACCTTGACCTTGGAGTTTGACCTTCTTTTGAAAAACTTTAACCTTGGTCATACCTTTTGAACGGTTGGTGTTAGGGCCTTCATATTTCACATGTGTATTTCTTGTGAGAAGGCCTTACCTTGGGTACCATTAATTTTGACCATGACCTTGTTGTTTGACTTACTTTGGAAAAACTTTAACCTTTTCCATATCTATTCAATGGTTGCTGCCAGGGCTTTCATATTTCACAGGTGTATTCCTCGAGACAAGACCTTACTTTGCAATTGGGAACCAACATATTTGATTTGCAACTGAGAAAGTTTAACCTTCGCTATAAGTTGCCATACGAGGGGCATCAGTGTTTCACAAACACATCTTGTTTTCCTTTAGAATAATTATAATAAATATCGAGTCAATAATTTTAAAGTCAATTATGCACTATGATCTCAAATGATGTGTAAAAATGTCTTTTATTTTAATGTTTAACACAACAAAGGCTTTTAACGGGGCTATTGAGCCACAACAATTATACGAGTTATCTTTCTGTTACCCTTCCCTGACAATTAAACATAGTTTGATATTCCATTCAATTGAATTAATTGTGCGCCTCATTTTGATTCTTCCTATTGATAGGAATGTAGCAGTGACTCAAACAAATTAAATTTTATAGGAACGTCTTTTTGCTTCAATCGACTTTGTTTTGTAAAAATACTAGTATTATTCATTATACGGATTAGCCATATAAGGAGAAAAGAACAAATGATAAAAATAATAAAATAGAAACATTAAAGAAATGGGAAGTCACAAATCTGGTTAATTATAATCCATTTTCCACACTTCAAGGCAACAACAGCAGAACAAGCCAGAAGTCTCTGACGAAACTGTAGCTCTACTTTCTAATAATATTTATATATAAATTATAAAAATTATATAACTACAAATCATGAGAGATTCTTTTTATCACATGTTTATACATCAATATCAATGTTTTAGGGTCCTACACTGTAGGATATATATATATATATATATATATATATATATATATATATATATATATATATATATATATATATATATATATATATATATATATATATATATATGAATCTACATCATTTTACTTCATCACTTTCACACAAAATCCAATTGTGACGTCACAGCAGTGGGATATGAAAAAATATTCAATGAGTGATATCAACGGGATAAAGCGTTAAACATGTGATATAGTTTTATGAACCGTATGTGTTTGTATAGATTAAACAGGGACCAGGGACTATAAGATTTATAATACATGCTTAGCCTCGGTCAATATTGAAATTTTTCTGGTGAATAACAAACCATATTCACCATCGAAAGTGTCTGTAATTGAGTTATTATATATTTCTGGATTTAAAAAAAAATAAGACAATATAGGCTGCATGATGATGCCACGTTCATTAACGAACTTCTGTCCTTAAACAGATTAAAAATGTCCAGATAACTGCGTTTTCCTTTCGTTGTGAGTAAGACATCGAAATGTATGGAAAATAATTCGGCGATAATTTCCTGCTCAGACACACAGCTGGCTCCGGCCGTTCCAACCATTGTTCACAACGTTATGTCATCCGGAACACCTTCTGTTCCGGATGAACACAATCGCCACTGCACGCACACTGACCCTCCGGTGGATACGGCTTCAAATCCAATGAATATATAGTGTTATGAACAATTGCGTTTGTATAGATTATATAGGGACTATAAAGAGATTTTTAACTAACACCGTTTATCGAAATCAAAACCGATTTACAGTATAGTCAACATTTTGCCAAGTTGCACCGCATTCAAACCAAAAAGTTTACGAGAAGAACGTCATCTATCGAAATAAAAAAAAATATATTAAGAATTACCTCGAAAGTATTCTACTTGTGCACCAATTTTTATTCGATTCTGATCAAAAATTAAATAGAGGAAGTGCTTTAAATAACAGTTTACAGACAAACAGACGAACAATTGGTACATTGTATCTTCGCATAACTCTTCTAAGAGCAAAAATTAAAGAAAATTAAAAAAAAACTTCCAATATCAACGACTGTTACACGAACTATTTTGCTCCAAAAGCAAAGTTGAGTTACAAAATGTAACAAGCAAATTCAAGGAATGGTGGACCCCCCCCCCCTTTCGGTGTCTTATTTATTGGGATACAATTATTTATGACAGATTGTAATTGCCTTGTCTGTGTGTCCTGAATTGTCTGTTTATCACATTTTTTTAAATCACAAAAGTTACGGTCCAGGTTAAAGTTTCTGAAAGCTGCGTCAAACCTCAAGGTCATGAGGTCAAATATCATAATACATTTCGAAAGGTCTTGTCACAAGTAATGCACATGTGAAAAAATATGAAAGCCCTGTCTCTTCAAAATTAAAGTTAAAATTTGAATAAGCAAGTCAAACTTCTAGGTCAAACCATGAGTCAAAATTATCATTCTTTTGAAAAGTGTTGTCGCGTGTTTGATATGAAATCCATATCTTCTTTTATTCAAAAGTTATTATCAATTTCAAAAATTTTGAAAAGTTAATTAAACTTTAGGGTGACGGTCAACAAAACCATAGGATATTCAGAAAGGTTTTGTAACAGGTAATGCACATGTAAAATATAAATAACTTATCTTCTCTCATTGAAAAGTTAACACCAATCGAATGTTAAAATTCGTGAATAGAAGGTCAAACTTCAAGGTACACGGGGTAAAAAATTATAGTACAATTATAAAGGTCTTATCACAAGGTTTAAGTTCTTGTGACAGACTGACAGAATTGCAGGCACACTGACAGAAGAACGAGATATGATGTCGCCTCGCTTTTGCGAAAGCGGGGGAAAAAGGCCCATATATTGAAAACAAACATAATGATTCTGTTTCAGTAGTTACAGAAATGGAAAGTCGCATACTTGTTTATTATATTTTTTTTTCTTGAAATATTCAAGGACCAGATGCTTGATAAATCTTATTTTTAGACAGCCCCATTCGTACAATACCATTAGCAATTTATCGCGTCAACTAAAAGGTTTTTTCCCACTATTTTTGCCTTCGCTGGGTCTGCTTCCAGTATAGATGTATCGATATCATTTGTCGTCTGGATGTACGAAACAATTTCCCCCTCTCAATAAGGAAATCGAAGTTGTGGTGGTCTAAGGTCAGAGGTGCCATGTCTCCTGAAGAGTGCTGTAAGTGGGAAGTGACGGATTTCTTCAGTCATTGGACTCCAGAGAAAAGATGTCTCATTGAGATATTGAACTACAAACTAACTAAATGAAAAGTGTATTCATTAATTTGTGTTGTATCAAAATATGTTAAATTCTAAGCTCTTAGGTAATCATCTAATGAGAGTAGTATTTCAATAACAGTCCCAGACTGCATTTAACGAGAGCAAGGTTCGGTAAGAACTCCGATGATGTAATTCTTCATAACCAGAGTAGATATCAAGTAATTCGAAAGAAAAAGTCAGGCCCTGGTCTGTTT